TTGGTACTTTATATTTCTTGCAAGGTTCTGTTGTGACAGGTTCAGCAGCTGTATCTTCTTCTATGCTTGATAATAATGTCACCAAATTATGGCACATGCGCCTGGGCTATATGAGTGAAAAAGGCATGCATCTTTTGAGCAAACAAGGTTTCCTTGGTAATCAAGGTATCGGTAAATTGGAGTTTTGTAAATATTGTGTCTTTGGGAAACAGAAAAAAGTAAGTTTCTTTACAGCAACTCACCATACAAAGGGTATTCTTGATTATATTCATTTTGACCTCTGGGGGCCTTCTAAAGTTCCCTATTATGGAGGACGCCGTTATATGATGACTATTATTGATTATTTTTCTTGCAAAGTTTGGGTTTATTTTCTCAGGTATAAAAATGAGACTTTCCCCACTTTTAAGAAGTGGAAAACTCTTGTTGAAACCCAGACAGGGAGAAAAGTCAAGAAACTCAGAACGGATAATAGATTAGAGTTCTGTGACGGTGAATTTATCGAATTTTGCGCAAATCATGGAATTGCTAGACATAAAATCATTTCAAGAACACCTTAGCAAAATGGTGTTGCAGAACGAATGAACAGGACTCTACTTGAGAGAGCTCGTTGTATGCTCTCAAATGCTGGGTTATGGCATCGACGTGAATTTTGGGCCGAAGCAGTATCAACTGCTTGTTACTTGGTTAATCGTTCTCCACACTCATCACTTAATTTCAAAATTCCAGAAGAAATTTGGTCAGGTAATCCTGTTAATTATTCTAATTTGAGAATTTTTGAATGTCCTGCTTATGCACATGTCAATGATGGCAAATTAGCTCCAAGAGCTGTTAAGTGCATATTTCTTGGTTATGCATCTGAATCTAAAGGATATCGTTTATGGAATCCTAAGTCACAAAAATTAATTTTCAGTAGAGATGTGACTTTTAATGAAGATGCTTTATTATCTTCTGAAAAATAATCTTCTGTGACTTCTTCTACTAGTACTAATAATCTGCAGGGTACTAGCTAGAAGGTGGAGTTAGAGTTAAAATCTACAACTCTTAATGTTGATGTCCCATCTTCTTCTATCAATGAGTCTAGCACTGATATTTGTGGTGATGGTGATGATGAGATTACCATTTCTCCAATTCAGCCTCAGGAAGAGGAGTATTCCATTGCCCAAAACAGACCAAGAAGGATGATTACTAAGCCAGCTAGATATGCAAATTATGCTTGTGATGATAATTTAATTGCATATGCATTATCTGTTACACAAGAAATAAATGATGACATTGAACCAGCCAGTTATACTGAGGCTGTTTCTTCTGCTGATTCTTTAAAATAGCTAGTGGCTATGAATGAAGAAATTGAAAGTCTTCATAAGAATGGTACTTGGAGTTTAACAGAGCTTCCCAAAGGCAAACGGCCTTTGAAATGCAAATGGGTCTATAAGAAGAAAGACGACATTCTTGGGGTTGAAGATCCTAGATGCAAGGCACGATTGATTGTTAAAGGCTTCAGCCAAAAGGAAAGTGTTGACTTTAAGGAAATTTTCTCACTTGTTGTTCGCATACCTCTATACGTGTTTTGCTTGCTTTTGTTGCTTTATTTGACTTGGAATTGGAGCAAATTGATGTTAAGACAGCTTTTCTGCATAGAGAGCTGGAAGAGGAAATTTATATGGAGCAACCTGAGGGATTTATTGTTCCTAGTAAGGAGCATCTTGTCTGCCGATTGAAGAAATCTTTATATGGAGTCAAACAAGCTCCGAGACAATGGTACAAAAGGTTTGATTCCTTTATGATTGGGCAAGGTTATTGCAGAAATCAATATGACGACTGTATTTATTTTTAAAAACTTCCTGATGAATCTTACATATACTTGTTACTATATGTTGATGATATGTTGATTGCATCACGTAACAAGTCTCTAATCAGAAAATTGAAAACTCAACTCAATAATGAGTTTGAGATGAAAGAATTGGGTGCAACTAAGAAGATTCTTGGTATGGAGATTTGCAGGGATCGTCAAGCTGGTAAATTGTTCATATCTCAACAAAAATACATTGAGAAAGTGCTTAACAAGTTTAATATGACTAATTGCAAACCTGTTTCTACTCCACTTGCTGCACATTTCATGTTATCATCTGAACTTTGTCCTGAGACAGAGGAAGACATGGAGCGTATGTCACGCGTTCCTTATGCTAGTGCTGTTGGCAGTCTTATGTATGCTATGGTATGCACTAGACCTGATTTAGCATATGTCGTTAGCATGGTGAGTCGGTATATGCATAATTCTGGAAAGGATCATTGGAGTGCTGTAAAATGGATTTTTCGATATCTCAAAGGTACTTCTAATATTGGCTTGGTATTCGATAGAAATCATGCAACAACTGAAGTTACAGGTTTTGTTGATTCGGATAATGGTGGCGATCTTGACAAAAGAAGATCTCTTTCTAGTTACATATTTACTCTCTGTAACTGTGCTATTAGTTGGAAAGCTCAGCTTCAGTCTCTTCCATCATTGTCTATAACTGAAGCTGAATATGTTGCAGCAACAGAGGGTGTGAAAGAGACTTTTTGGCTTAAAGGTCTGATTAATGAACTTGGTCTTACACAGGATGTTCTTACTGTGTTTTGTGATAGTCAGAGTGCTATTTACTTGACCAAGAATAACCACTACCATGACAGGACAAAATATATTGATGTGAGACATCATTTTATCTGAGAAATTGTTGCTAAGCGTGAAGTCATGGTTCATAAGATTCATACATCTGAGAATCCAGCTGATATGCTTACTAAGCCTCTTCCAAAGGTCAAGTTCCAACATTGTTTGGACTTGGTTGGTCTCTACAGCACTTGAACACCCTTCAGGGTTAAATGACGTCGAGCAATTTATAAAAACTGATCCAAGGTAGAGATTGTAAGTCAAAATTGGTGGCTCTGTGTTTCAGCAATAGTAGGCACCACATCAATTCGTCAAAATTTGCTACAGTAAATTACTGTAGCAATGTTGAATTTTTGAAAAGATACTGTAGCAGTTTTTGCCTATAAAAGGGCATCGAATTAACGAAGGAAAGCACAACAACAACACATCGTTCACGGATCAGTGAAGGGAAAATACTGAGAGAAAATTAAGAGTGTTATTTTGTAACTCTTATTCTATTTTGAGAGAGTATTTATTGAGAGAAAAAATAGAGAGATTTTACTCTTTGTCCTAATAATTTTAGATGACTTCTTGTACTCTCTTTTTTACATAGTGGAATTATTTTGCTCGTCGTTGTCCATGAGTTTTTTCTCCGATTTAGAATTTTTCCCACGTTAAAATTTTGTCTCCATTATTTTCTTACTTCTCTTTATTTTCAATTAAATTCGATCCAGTCTTCCGCATTACATTAATACTCCAACAACTTTATTAATATTCCTTCCGGTAAAGACAAGTTCAAAATTTTTCGTATCTTTTTGAATCTCTTAGAAAGAAAGTGCAGAAAGGACCGATCAACCAAGGTACTAAAATCAGAGGAATAATTGGTGGCATTATCCATTTCAACAATTCCTTCATTCTTCATAGCAAAACGTAACAAGCAGATAGTAGCAATACGCGTAGCAAATGGATAGAGGAAGTTTCGTGCGGGAAAAAGTGTACTAATGGCGTGGGCTACTTGGTACAGTTGGGAAGCAGATTGGTAAGCAGTGTAAAAGTCACTGTACAAGTTTGGGGAAGTGATTATGACATTCATATGAAGTGATTATTGGGATATGGTTTTCATGGCTTGTGACAGTCCACCACATTCTCTCGTTTTGTCATACGTGCAGGCTTCTAATAATTGTGCAGGGAGGGACTCCTTCTACCACCTATTTCTGACTTGTGTCACATTACATTTTAGACACCAACTCTTAGGAATCAAGGCATTCTTCTTTGATAGTTAAATTAGAGCATTTGCATGGTGATTTCTTCAAGTTCATTGGTCAAAATTTGAGGCATTATTCAACTCGTGTAAAATGTACAGATTGGTGACCCCTATCCTATGCATGCAATTCAATTGGTTGGGTTAATTTGAGTACATCCAGAGGTCATTTATCCATTATTATTCAATAATTATAACACTATTACCAAGTACGATTTCCAATATTATCTAACATTATTACTAATCATTTCTCAACTTTTTAATTCAATTTGAGATAAACCAATTCGGACTGACCCGACTTGAATACAGGAGACATTTCAAAATTAAACCAAAAATTTGATTCTGAAGGAAAATGCTTTTCACCTTATTTCTTTCCCATTTTAAAATCATTTTTAAATAAGAGTTTTTTTTATCAAATATTCTTCTCTACTGACTAATTATTATCATAAAAATAAATATTACACTGGAATTAAATGTTAAGCAACATTTTTTTAACTTGTAACGTATATTACTGTTTGATTGACACACTTATCTCATTTAAGAGACCAGTCGTCCAATTAATTTAATTTTCAATCAAATATTATATATATGCATACATACTAATTATATAACAATTAGTTATTTAATTTTTAAATAAAATACAAAAAATATATTGACAATAGTGAGGAATGGGCAAGTGGCCGATTCAGTTGTCCTCTATTAGGTTTTATTCGATTAATCCTAGATCCAGTGGACAGTAAGTAACGCTTCCTTCAATTATGTTTTTTTGGTCCCAACATATTCTTCTATTTAAAAAAAATCTGGAATACAAGCCCAAAATATAGCCCACATCTAGTTATGTTGTCATGAGCCGAGCTAGCCCAAATGTGATACGATGTAACTTGGATTATAAGTTAGTAGATATTTATATTCCGATCTAGTGGCTTTAGATATTTAGACTATCACAAATCACAACAATAATAGGATAAAATTTTTGTTATATTCTCTATTCATAGTGAAATAAATTAAGACATTATTTTAACTATAAAAAAAAGAAGTGGAGTAAGCCCCAAGTAATAATAAAACAAGAAATTCGTATTAAAAAAAAAGGAGCTAAAAAGTCAAGGTCGCGCGGAGATAAGTAAAAACCCTAAAAAACACTGGCACACGAAAAAACACACACACTGACTTTGGCAGCGCTTCTCCTCTTCTTCCTTGCGGTTGCGTCGATCTACGAGGGGGGCTTCTTAGCCCTCTCTCTCTCACTCTCTGGGCTGCAATTTTAGGTATTTTCGTTCGAAACCCTAAATCTTTTTTGCTACTGTCTTAAGCTTCTTTTGGTTCCCTTCTTTATTTTGTTGACTGTTTTGTTCTTTGGGTTGCCGAGGGTAACCCACGTGATTTCGATTTTCGGTCTTTCTTCTTCTTCAAATTCGATTCGAATGCGGAACTCAGTGAAAGACTATGTGTTCTCTTTATCTGGTTATCCAAGGAAGGTTTGGTTCTGTGTGTTGATTTGAAGGGCTGGATAACATGTTGCAATTGCTTCATTTAGTAGCTGTATTTCATATTTTCTCCCTTGTCATACTTGTATAGCTATTTGATTCGTTATATTTGAATGGATTGGGTTGTTGATTTTAGAATCTTTCCTTGAAATTGTTTCTTTCGTTTTGGTTAGTTGCAATATTGGGAAAATATTTTACTGTTGTGAAAGTTTTTTCGACTTCATTATGACATGTTATATAATCTCTTTATGTTGGTGATGATCAATTTTTGTAAACAAACTTTATTTTGATTGGAAGGGGAATTTCGTTATATATAATTATATATATTTGGAGAAAGGAATTTATTTTGTATAAATGAACAAGTAGTGCGCTGCCTTTTCTGGTTACATAAATTCATAAGTTATTCTTGCTGAGATTGTTGGCAACTTCTTTTTCTTTAAATATATATTTGTTTGGGCTATCCAGGTGATTTGTCTTCAGATGGAAGCATTGCTTGCTTGACTGACGCCTTTGTCTCAAAAGGATTGGAATTTCTGGTTTTTGAGGGCTTGGAAATTCAGAGAGTAGCCTTTCACTCCGCGAAGAATAAAAAAAATAAAAAATAAAAAAGAAAGAAAGGAAATTGTGCATTTTGGAGGGTGTGGGTTTGAAATTTTTTATTTTGACATCATTTCTAAAGTTAAGTCAATCATAGGTGCAGCTGTTTTAATTATTGTAAGTTTCGCAACAAATTTTTTTATAAAAAAAATTATATTCTCAATGTTACTTATGCTAATAGGCTTGTTGTCTGTTTTATAGGCTTTATTTTAAAATAGGCTCTTAGGTCAGGCCAAGCTTTTAGACAATCCAGTCATGGTCTTAAAAAAGGTTATAATAGGTAATTAGGATAGGATCAGGCCTTCTAATTAGGAATCAAGCTATGCTCAAGCCTTTCAAATTAGGGCCTGACCTGTTCCCCACTCTGTCAGGTACTGTCTTTTTACTCATTAAGATGGCATCATGGCAAATTTATAATATTTTCCTTCTTAAGTTTGATAGTATGCTATGGTTAAGGATAGATGTATGACATATAATGGCTGATAGTGTGTTACAACAATGAATACAAATTAGTGAGCAGTCACAACATTGAATTTTTGCTTCAAACCTTAACCGTACAGATATCCCTATAAGCATATGGTTTGTTTATCACCCAATATATTTGTATGTGATGCCACATTGCCACTCCCTTTTCAGGCACCTTTGAAAATTTTAATAGTTTCCACATTTTAGTACTAAAAAGGTTGAACTTACTTCTATATTTTGCACACACAAAATCTATAATTGTTATTCTAGAGTGATATATTTAAGGTCTCTTGCTAGAAGCTATTTTCCTGGCCTTGGTACCATTGTGACAGCTTCTATGATGATTTCCAAGTAGATATGTTTAAGGAGCACATGGAACCGCCTGCATGCTTCCAAAGCATTGAATTTTCTGATCATTTTAAATATTGTTAACGATTATAGTTAATATGCTTGAATTATTGATGTGAAATATTTTTTAATTACTTTGTTTTTGTGTTATTTGTCCAGTTCTGCAGTTCAACCGCATGATTCGTAGTGGGACTGCTTGATCAAGTGATCTGACCTTGTAACTGGAACAACAATATATTTTAGATATATTGCAAAAGTCCTACGCTTCATCTATACAATCACTTTCTTCTACTCTCTCCTAGATTACCACTCATATTGCATTGCTAAGCACATGGACACTGATACCATTGGTGATCCTGTTGATATCAATACCATTCAGAATGATGAAGAAGATCAAGATGATGATTATGATGATGAAGATGAAGAACATGAACTTGTCACTCTTGGTTTTGTTGACAAGCCCAAGAATCAGTGGTCTCTTCTCCGTCAATATTTTCCAAGCAAAGCTGGAGGTGTCCCGGTACTTTACCATCTCCTTGAATTCTTTTACACCTCGCATTTATCTTATTTATTCAGTGAACACAAGTTTTAGTTTTTGATGATTATATAATCTATTGTGAATAATAGGCTTGGCTTGACCCTCTGAATATACCATTAGGGAGAACATCTTTGTGTGACTTTTGTGGAGACCCGTTACAATTCTTGCTTCAGGTACGAAGTTAATACCTCATTTATAGTTTGACCTTGACTTCGTTTGTGTTGTACCTGTGGATTTTGATATATTGTATTTAAACCCTTGAACTGCTAGGTTTATGCACCAATTGAGCAGGAAACTACGTTTCACCGGATGTTGTTTGTTTTTATGTGTCCTTCTATGAAATGTCTTCTTAGGGATCAACATGAACAATGGAAACGCCATTCAGAGAAGCCATCGAGAAGGTTTGTGATCATTCTCTGTGAAATAAGTTTTTCTATTTTGATTAAGTTCCTTTGATTGTTGATCTCTAATTATGTAATGATTTGTTGAAGTGTGAAGGTTTTCTGTTGTCAATTGCCTCGAGTTAATCCTTTTTATTCATATGAATGCCCTGAGTTTAATGAGAGCCACAAACCTGCTGGCAGTGGAGGTTTGTTTACTCATCATAATATTTTTGTTTCATTCTGCAGAAAATACTCCCATTTTACTAATATTTGTTGTGACGTGTGACTATTTATATAAATTCTTTTTCTGAGTTTTATGAATATTTACTTGTTTAGGCCTTAGGGTTATTTGTACCCTGGGGTAAAACAGATGTTCATAGTTGTCTGGAGGTCCTCTGCTTTGGTACGGTAAAAGATTGATTGCTATTTTTGTTTGGATCTTTATTTACTGGCCTGTGTTTGTGTCTTTTGATTTATGAATTTTTATACTCATGGTTGTCCATTGCAAGTACTAGTGTCAGGCAGTCCTACATGAGTTATGAAGAGTTCATGATTACATGTTATCCTTCATTCTGTTATTGCACATAGTGGCAGCATGCTTTTATCATGAAAAATAAATATATGATGTCTCATTTCATTCTCAAACTTAATTTGTTATCCTGAACAAGCCACTATTGTATTTTTATTTAATGATTCCCATATTATTTCTACAGTTATTTTACATTAACATATAACTTATATATGGCATGCTTGCCTATTTAGATAAGTGGATTAGAGCTATTGATGAATTAGGTGTTGGAGTACATTTAACATGTTTTGAACAGTTTTGTTCCAAATCTATCTCTATTTTGATGGAACTACTTCTTACTTCCAGTTGCTCTGTGTGATTTGTGTGGCACCTGGAAAGGAGATAAGCTTTGTAGTAGTTGCAGACAAGCACGATATTGCTCTGAAAAACACCAGGTAACTAGATTGCTTAAATGTCTTCATTCTTATTCTTTCCCCAAATTTGTTCCCATAATATTCTTTTTCTCTTCCAATTTGCAGGTTGTAAGTTGGCGCTTAGGGCACAAAATTGCTTGCCAGCAGATGAAAGTCTCTTCACCTGTTTTTGGATCCAACAAAAGCGGACACCCCTCCTCAGAGCATCATAAAGGTTATAGACTTATAGTGGTCTGAAGTTTTGCTTGCTTGCTTTTATCACATTTATTTGTCTTTTATTGTGTTGATAGCAGAAAAATTAACCATTTTTGGATGGAATAAAAAATGATAAGACTAAGTATAATATTGCTAATAATTAACAATCTAATCCTGAATTTAATAAAAAATTGAATGTGACAAGATATTTATATTTGTATCTGCTAAGAAACTTAAAACATGAACATAGACAGGTTACTGTATATCTACTGTTTAGCTTCCTGTTAGTTCACATGTGATATCATTACCATACAGTTGCAAGCAACAATGTGTGGCCTGAATTTGAGATCATCATTGAAGATGAAAGTGAATATAATAGAGACATATCTGAGGACAATAATACCTTGGCTAACTCCTTGATCTCAAGGAACAGGACTGATGACACAATGAATTCACTTTTGGATAACTTTCAGGTATTATTATTCAGTCTTTTTTTAATAAGATTCTTTTACTTTTTTAAGTATTTATTTGCTAATTATATTGTTTGTGAACAGGGTGATCATGACAAAAGGAGTTGGGCATATTTCCAGGAACGCATTGCTAAGGCTCCTGAACAAGTATTGAGGTGATTAATATATAGCAAATTTAGAGTGTTTAACTATGCTGAACTGCCTTTATGTGCCCTTACGGACACAGATTTGTGTTAGCAAACTGGGTGGGGAAAATAATTGAGAAACGGTTATCTTGCCTTAGAAGATGAATTGAGCAGGAAAGTAGTAGAAATATGTTAGTTGCCTCTGATTGTCGAACCTAACATTTGAGAGAATAATAGCTGTTTAGAACATGCTATATATTTGCTTAATCTGATATCGGTTAATGCTGAAGTAAGGAGACAAAAGTTGGAATTTAGATTATTCAATCTTAATTTCCCTCAAAATCACATTGCAAAAGGTGCATAAAAAAAATTTAACCATGTAAAACATTATGCTAGGTATTGATTTTATCAAAACATTTGTGTTTAATTACAGTTTTGATACCTTCGGTAAAAACAGGTACTATAGGAATACTAATGCTAAGCCCATATGGCCTGTGTCAAGTGGTCGGCCATCTAAAGCTGATATCCCTAGATGCAGTTACTGCAGTGGACCTATGTGCTGTGAATTTCAGGTAGTTATTTTAGAAAACAATGGTTGAACCTAAATTTTTTTCTGCTTGTACTACTATTTTTCTTGCTTGGTCAACCTAATGTTTGCACATTTCCTATAGATACTGAGTGTTTAATGTTTTCTATTTTTGGTCATTCTGAGTGTTTGATGTTGGTGGTGCCAGATTTTACCTCAGTTGCTGTATTACTTCGGCGTTGACAATGAATTGGATTCGTTGGATTGGGCTTCAATTGTTGTGTATGCCTGTGAAGCTTCTTGCGAGGCAAGTTTACCTTACAAATATGAATTTGCTTGGGTACAACTGTATTCACCTTCCCCCACCTTATAGGAAAGTGTCTGCATTTAAATTTTTGGGACTCAACAGTGTAAGATATTTTTGTTTGCCTTGGTGGAAGTATAAGGTACGAATTTGTACTTCAACCATCAATTTTGAGGATCATCTGGTGATTGTGTAATTTATGGGCGTGTTGCGCCCCTTGTTAGAAGAAATTTTGCCCCTACAGAAGAAATAGGCTATTGTTACGGAGACATATTCTCGTTGCTTTATACATATTTTCATCATTCGATAACTAATAACGAGTTATAATGAAATTTCGGCATTCTTTTTACAGTAAGGGATATGTTTGTTTTCCTTCTATTTTAATAAATTTAAGTGGACTTTGATTTTCTTATTTTAATGTTATTAAATTTTACCCCGTTAATTTGAGTTCTATTTTTTTTTAAATAGTTGAAAAATGCGTTACATGTTACCAGTGGCCTTTTTACGGTTAAGATTGGTTTTGCTCGTGTCTTTTTTCGAAAAAAAAAATATCATATTCGAATTCAAAAGAAATAATGGATCTTCCAAACTTAGTTCTGGAGTATCAATTATGAAGCAAATCAACAGAGGCGGTGACTGACTATTTAGAATGCTTAGTTTGGAAATAGCTTAGAGAAACTTTAGTTTTCTGAAATGTCAAAATCAGATTACACTGCAAACATGTTTTATGCCCGTCCATCAGAATAAACAAATCAGGAGGGTAGTAACATCGCATCACACATGCAGGTAGTAATATTTCTATCGAATGCAAAGTGTCTTAAAAGTGAGCCTTCTGCAAGTTTCTTGTATATGAATATTGAGAATTGACTCCTGTATGTAAAGATTTTTTATACCAAGACATTGGTAGAGTGATTAAATTGTTTCAAGAGAAGCAAATTCTTTAAAAACAGTCTCTCAACTAAACTTCATGACACCTACAAGTAGTGCTACCAACAATGCTCAAAGCCAGCCCAAAATTAAAAGGAAAAACTATCACTGCATGAGGGTCATAAATCAGAGTCTTTATCATGAACAGGAAAGAATTGCAACAACAAATCCCTGAGAACTGCAATCAAAGCCTTCAAATCATTGTTACCCACTTCAAGACAATCCCTGATTAACCCACCTTCCACCACTTCTTTCTGCAGTGTCTCCACAACTTCCCTCATCACTCCCTGCCATTCCATATTTTTCAGAATGAAATCTATTAATTTTAATTAAAATTACCAATACAATTATGATCATATAATTATGGTCAGTCATAAATAAAATGGATAGCAAAAGTAAGAAACGACGTCGTACGCAGTACTCACCGATTGGCCAAACGCTTTGAGGAGCTTGCGGAAGAGCGACTTAGAGACAGTGAGGACATTCTGGTAATTCCGGGAAACCCAAGCAGACCTTTCCGCGACCGATTCCAAGCGAGTCAACTCAGTCAAGCCCCTCAGCAACTCGTTCATGTCTGAAACGGCGCCGTAGAGCTCCGTGAGGGGCAATTCAGTCCAGGACCAGGTCCAGGTCGACCATACGAGCCTCCAGAACCCAAAGACGGACCCTTGCTCCAGCTTGTCGGCGATAGTCCTGGCTCGCTCGGCGCCGGCGAGGTCGCCGCGGGTGGCGCGATGGTTGGCGACGGCAGTGAGAAGGGAGTGGGAGAGGTAGAAGAGGTTACGGTAGCGGAAGTAAGAGGAGAAGGTTAGGGATTGGGATGGAGAAGGTGCTGCTGTTAGGAGAAGGATGGTGATGACGAAGACAATGGTTGAGTTTGATCCTACGGTTGTCATTGAATTTGGAATTTTTAATCGAAACCATGAAATTGTGGAAAAAATGTAAAAACCCCGTGAAAGAAGTGTTCGTATCAGATTTGGGACATTGCTTTGGTAGTCAGGTCGGGTCGGGTCATTTCTTCATTTGTTTTACCATTTTAAGATCGATTCATGAAGTACCCAACTTTTTAAACTATGAATTATCGGCTAGCTCTTTTGTATTTTCTTGCAAATATTATATTATTATTTAAATAGGCCAACTGATTAAAAGTTTTTTTTTAATGACATAGCCCTTGTCTTTTATTAACTAAATAAACTTTTAAAAATTGTTTAACCTAATTTACTCATTAAATAAGTTTGGTTTCACATAAGTTTAATGTAGATTAGATCATAAATGTCTGAAAAATAGTCTAACATATTTTCATCTTTATCAATAATTAACTAGTTATCTTCATTATCTTAGCAACTGCGTATCGTTCAGCGATTATATAATTTAAGAGTAAATGAATTAATTAATGCTTAAAATATATAATAAAGGATAGCAATTAATATTATTTTAAAATTGTAAATAGATAAATAAATAGAGTTAATTTTAAAAAAAGGGGGAAAATAATTTAAAAAACAAAAGAAGTATTGGATGATGTTCAAGTTTAATTTCTTGAAAAACAAAAGAAGTATTATATGATGTTGCAGTAAAAATTGAAAAACAAAAAAACTTGATTAATGAGTTTTGAAAAGTGGTTTTCTTTGATTGCATATGCCATGACATTAGTCCTTTCACTTCTTTGATCAGTGGATACATATCATATGGACTTTGCTTTAAAGCTTTCTGCAAATTGTATAAAACCGCACGTAACTATTTTCAAACATACTCCCTTTGCATACCACACAGGAATGCAAGCTTTTCATATCATCAAAAACTAGAAAAGTTCATGGTTTAAAAGAAAAAAGGGACTAAAATTTTATGAGAATTAGTAAATGCCTCGTACAATGTGCAAATATGTTTATAAAAATAAATTAAAATATTAAAGTGATGAATATTTATTTTAATAATAATAAACTAAATATAACTATTGAGATATTTAAAATTTATTTCAATTAATAATATTTATAAAAATTATTAGTTTAATTTTAGTTCACTGTTAATATAAAAATTTTATATTATCAATTTTAGATATATTTTAAGATTAATTATTATAAAAAAATTAATAATTATTGTTAATATGGTAATATGTGATTGAATGAAAATGTAAAAAAAATTATACTGTATATATTCAAATTAAATTCATATTTTATTATATTTAATGTTAATTCAAGAAACTTAAGTATTAACTATGAATATGAATGTTTTTATTTTAATAACTAATTAAGAAATAAATTAATATTGATTTAATTTAATTTATAAACACTAAAAGCTGATTATCACTAAAATTTGTTTTGAATTGATCATAATTGCCATTTAAAAACTTTCATTTATATTTAATGTTGATTAAAGAAAATCAAGAATTAATTAACAAAATTATGTAAGGAAAATATATTTTATTTAATAACTAATTAAAAAATTGTATTATTTTTTATTTAATTAATTTGAAGCTCTGGACACATGGTATGACATAAAAGGGATAGTATGAAAAGAGAGTCAGTGAATTCATGATAATTAAGTATGAGATTTCAAATTTAAATGTATTTGTTCGATAAAAAAAAAAGTATGTCTTAGTTAAAAAAATCATGTCCTATACACTTATTGTTAAATAAAAACTTTAAATGAAGTCAAAAGTATTGAATGATCCTTTTCAAATTTAATGAATTTAAAAAGAGTAAATATTTTTAATATTAAAAGATTCTATCATATTAAACAGAACTAAATTAAGAGGTAAGATGTTTAAATTAAGAAAAATGTTATAAAAATAAATATAAATTCAAATTAAGACTGAATTCAATTTTTTTTATTTTAGTAATATGATGTGTCATAAATTTAAATTAACATTGATTAAGATATAATATTTTGAAATTTATTTTATCTAAAAAAATCTCTTTAATTTAATACAATGTATCAAGATTTAAATTTTAAATCACATTAAATTTAAAATAGAAAAAGTCTTTTTAAAATAACAATTAATAAAAATGTAGCAAAAATCATACAACGTAACAAAAATGCAAAAAATTATCTTATTCAGAATAAGTAGAGTCAAATTTAAAAAATAAAAGCGAAAGTAAGAATGTGTTATTTAATTTCAAGTACCTCAGTTCTATACAGTCAACCTGGATAAGATGAAAAGGAATGGCACTTCAAATGAAGAAAAAAATTATTGTTTAGTAAATGCGAGATTGTTTAGTAAATGCGAGAATCTTCAACAGAAACTTATTTAGTTCATCAATAGATACAATACATCAATGATACCAATCACGAGAGATATGTCCAATACAGAAAGACCTATAAAAATATGATACCTACTCTAGAGATGAGGGCAAACATTGGTTAGAGATTCGTGTAACCTCTATAAATATCACATTGTCCAATTGCGTTTGTCTCCAAATGGCGATTAAAAACATTATTTCTGCAACCTATGTCCTACTCTTGCTCCTCCTCTTTCATCCTTTGGCCTCATGCACCAAAAACAAACAGGTCTTTCATTTTTCTGCTACTAATTCTTCATAGGTTTTTTTTTCTTTTGTCACTATTAAATTATTATTATTATTATTGTTTTGTTATGTAGAGTCTCATGTGAAACAATCTTTCTTGGGTTCTCACAGGTTTATGTAGTTGAGTTGATTAGAGAGCACACTAGTGAAGATCATAAACCACTCCATGAAATAGAGAATACCCATCACTCTTATTTGCTTTCTGTGAAAGAAACTGAGGAGGAAGCAAGAGATTCCCTTCTTTATAGTTACACACACACTATCAATGGCTTCGCAGCATTGCTTACCCCAAAAGAAGCAAATAAGCTCTCAGGTATAACTGATAATTCTCCAACAGTTTCAATTTTAATTGTAGTTTTAATTACAACTCTCTCTCTCTCTCTCTCTCTCTCTCTCTCTCTCTCTCTCTCTCTCTCTATGTACCTGACACTGACATTGCAAAGAAAACATGGAACAGAAATGGAGGGAGTGGTCTTTGTGCATAAGAACCAACCAAGGATCTACTCCTTGCACACCACAAGGTCATGGAAGTTCGTGGGGTTAGAAGGGCCTTTAAATCCATGGGAAGAAGAATCTGATCAGCCAAATGGAGACTTGTTAACCAGAGCAAAATATGGGAAAGATGTCATAGTAGGAATGATTGATAATGGTAATTCATGAATAGTACTATTTTCCTATGTATGTCTACGGTTTTATCCTGCATATAATTAAATTTGGCTGTTCACATTTTCCTCTAATTTACTATGTACCACTTGAACTGCGTATATGTGTGTGCGTGCATGATGGTATGAAATGGTTGTGCTTCTACTTGCAGGTGTGTGGCCAGAATCAAAGAGCTTCAGTGATGAAGGGATGGAGCCTGTTCCGAAAAAATGGAAAGGAGTGTGCCAAAATGGAACTGCTTTTGGTTCGTCTCAATGTAATAGGTGACTAATTGCTTTTCTTTATACCACTTTAACTTCTAATATTTTTTTTTGCTATTTTATTTAGTTTATTTGGAGAATATATGACCAAATTTGTCAAAAATATGTCAATCAATTTTTACTTAGTATTGGGTGTTTTTACTGCAACTAGCGTAAGGAATTCCCTTGCTGCTAATAACGAAATTGGGTAGGACATAATTTATGAAAGTTGAATCTTTTCAGATAAAAAAAACAACTTGTGTGTTTTTATTTTGTTTATTTTCTTGAAGGTTACTGCTTGCAATTTAAAATAGAGCATTACATTTGTGATTTCTGAATGAAGCTCCAATCTATCTTTTTTAACACCCCCCCCCCCCCCAAAGTTAGATATATTTATAAAAATGACCATGACAATTGCCTTTTGAAATAATTTTTTCAATATGCTTTGGAACCTTTGAATTGGTTTCGTTCTGGGTTAACCAGTATTTTTATAGTGTCTTTTTTCTGTTTATATTCAATCACTATGAGTGGCTTACTGGCTTAAATATTACAAAAGCAAAAGTTCATTTCACTATCTGTGCATAAATTGTGAGCATGTCATTTTCATGGTATATAAATATTCATATATTTGAAGTTTTAACTAAAGGTAAATGTGTAAAGACTTGTATTCATTCCCTTACAGCCAAGGAATTACGATTATATATATATTTTATGGGGAAATATTGTATGCTATCAATAAAAGCTATTCCCAAGTATTTTGTAATTAATAAAACAGAATAAATAAATAAATAACTTCTTAATTGAACAAGGATCACAATATAGTTGATATGTAACATGTTGGTTTTCTTTAGATAGTCCTTTTATGTTGCCCTACATTTCGTTTATTCTCTGAGAGACTGAGACACAATGATAAGGTCAAAGAAGGCATTTTCTGCTCCAGCTTTCGCAATATGTGGGGTTAAATTATAAATAGGATATCTATAGAGCTTGTTCGTCTAGATTTAAATGGTTTCAGCTTTTCCTCTTTTGACTTAAGTGTTTTTGGCTTCTTTTGTTTTTCATCCTGTGACTGTGTAAGCGAGCCAGTATCTGTATTCCAATGTCTTCTCTCCTTTTTTAAGCCATGAATATGCCTTTTTCTATCTTCTTTGAGAGCATATTCCAGTTTGAATAAATTTTTGTTAAATAAATTAATAGAAAAATAATAAAAATTTTCAAAATTTTAAATAACTTATATTTCTTAAGTTTTGAAAAATTATATGAAAAAAATTTATAAACAAATAGAAAAATATAAGATAATTTTAACTTATGAGGCAAAAAAAATCTGATTCATGTTATTTAATTTTTTATTCTTATAAGTACTTTTTAAAAAATTTATTTAAACTGAACCTATTTCTTTAACTGGTAACTCTTATTACACTACTTAATAGATTAAAAAAATAACTTTTTATTAAAAATTATGTTAAAATTTATTAAAATACATATGGGTAGATGCATTTTTCTATTTTTTAAAATTAAAATATTTTCATTCTTTAACGAGCACTCTGAAAGCACTTATTATTAACATTTATCTTTATTTATTTTGTCAATGCATTATCTCTTGGCTTGTGTTGTGTGATTCTATATATCCCACTCCCATAGTCTAGATATAGATGATTGAGGGAAAAGAAAATGGTTCAATAATTGAAGAGCTCTGTACTGAAACGGTCAATGCATGACAAAATACAAACATATGCACGAGAGAGAGAGAGAGAAGAGAGTGCCATGCAAACTAGAGGACAACGTTATGTATTGGGACGATAGACTGATGAAAATTATGTAACTCTGACAAGTCATGGTTTGCTTACTCGTGATGTTTTTGAATCTGTGGCTCTTTGCCATTTCATATATATCTGCTTGGGGAGGCGGGAGTCCGTGTTCACAAAAATATCAAATTTTGAAAAAGGAAAGGTTATATATATATATATATTACAAGATCTTCTTATAATTGGTGTAAATTTAAAAAAATTTACATTTAATTTAAATTTTTTATTTAACTTAAATATAACAGATTATAATTTATTAATTTACTAGCCGTTAAATTTAAATTAAATAAAAAATTCAGATTAAGCATAAGAATTTTTAGATTTATACTAATATAATAAAATCATTTTTCTATCTTTATAACTTAGTATATTTTATTTATATTTTAGAAGTTTTAATAGTTCTTATAATTTTATTATCTACATATTTTATTTAGGTTTTAATTACTATTGTATATCAAGTATTTGTCCTAGAATGATAGTTGTGTGAAAAATGCACGTAGTTGATAGAGAATATTAAATCCAAACTTTATTTCATTTAGATTTTTATTTTTATAATTTTATTTTATTTGTTTTAATTTTTACAATGCATTAAACACTATTCTTGATAATTTTCTCTTGAAAAATATGTGGTGACATATTGTTTGTGGTATAGGGATATAAAAAGGGAAAATTATAAGGAAAAAAACTAAAGTTTTAAAATATATATACTAAGACCAAAATAAAAGAAAATTATACGGACAAAAAATATTTAACTATACAATTATACATAGTTAAAATTAAATTTAAATATAATAATTCAATAAAATTAAATTTATATACAATTATCTTGTTTTTCTATTTATATTGGTTAGAAGAAAATGAAGAAGAGGAAAAGACAAAGATTATTAAAAAAAATGACTCAAAATTTAAGAGGAAACTAGACATGAAAGAGGTCGATAAAAATTTCTTCTCTTTGCATTTTGGCTCCCCTTTAATACTGGCAAGAAAAAGTGCATTTAAAATATTTAAATTATGATAACTGAAATATCTTAGTTCATTGTTACATTCTGTTATCATTATAAGGATATAATAATATGGCAATTTTTAGGGATAGTTTATTTTTAATCATTAAAATGTTACATGATCTACATATGAATACAAATTTATTTATATATATCTTTAAAAAATAAGATTATATATATATATATATATCGACCTCTCTATAAATACATTTCCTATTTACACACAGGCTTCCTCGAAATGCATGTACATTGCACCCACTTAAGCCACAGGTGCATGTAGTGGTAAAGGGATAGCCTTATACTTCGATCCTGTCTTGGGAAGAAAGACAACTGATATATATAGTTGAGTTACCCCCCAGTAACAAAATTAATAATTAAAAATAACAGGTTAGCCTTATATAAATTTGGTGCAGGAAGATCATTGGAGCTCGTTACTATTTGCATGGTTATGAAAGCTTATTTGGTTCTCTAAACGAAAAGGAAGATTACAAATCAGCTCGTGACAAAGATGGGCACGGAACTCACACAGCGTCAATAGTTGCGGGGCGTTCAGTTCCAAATGCCTCAGCCATTGGAGGCTTTGCTAAAGGCACTGCCACAGGAGGAGCCCCTTTAGCACGCCTTGCCATATACAAAGCATGTTGGCCAATTAAAGGAAAATCAAAAGATGAAGGCAACGTTTGCACAAACATTGATCTTCTCAAAGCAATTGATGATGCCATTCATGATGGTGTTCATGTTTTAAGCATTTCCATTGGCTTCTCTTCACCAATCTCTTATGAGGATGATTTCATTGCCAAGGGTGCTTTGCATGCTGTAAGGAAGAACATTGTTGTGGTTTGTAGTGCTGGCAACTCCGGTCCTTTACCTCGTACGTTGTCAAACCCTTCACCTTGGATCATCACTGTTGGTGCTAGTACTGTGGACCGTTCCTTTCTTGCTCCAATTAGGCTGAGCAATGGCACATGTATCGAGGTAAACTTAATTTACATTAAGACAACGTATATGAGTGAATACAAAGGTATTCAACTTTTGAGCATTCGCAAGTACACCCCTTAATTTTGTATTTTGATAACCAAACTCCCCTTCTAACTTTAAGGGAAAATAAAACTCAATAGATAATTTTTTGCTAGGAAAAATGTTTTTTTTTTTTCAAATAAAATTTCTAAGTGTGATATTTTGCAATAAAAAAAAATAGAATTGGTACCCAATAGAGTTGGTTAAACTTGTCATTTTAAAAAAGACAACCTAAATTTGTTGTGATATGAGAATTAATCTCACAGCTTCGTTTTGGAGAATTTTGGTTACATAAAAAGATTTTTGCGCTGAAAATCACATTATTCATCCAACTATGTTCTTGAAAATACAAGATGCACTACGAAAAGTAAACTGCGTATGTGGCTACATGACTAATACTTTTAGCTTAAAAATGATTATTCGTTTTAATTATAACTTTCATCAATGTTAATATCAGGGTCGATCAATCGCCCCCGTCCACACGGGAAACAGCTTCTACCCGTTGATTCTCGCTAGAGATGTTGAACAACCAGGGGTGCCTAGTTCATATTCTGGGTACTTTTCCTTACTAGTTCAATTTTTATCTCTTCATATGTTCCGATTATTTTGACTAATTATAATTTGAAAAGGTTAATTCAATTGATCATGCAGGTATTGCTTAGACAATACCCTTCAACCCAACAAGGTCAAGGGTAAGATAGTTCTCTGCATGAGAGGGCAAGGAGGAAGATTAAAAAAAGGCCTAGAAGTTCAAAGGGCTGGTGGTGTTGGTTTTATCCTTGGGAACAATGAAAAATATGGGAATGATGTACCAAGTGATACTCATTTCATTCCAGCCTCGGGGGTGTCCTATGAGAATGCCTTAAAACTTACTCACTATATCCATTCTACCCCCAATCCAGTGGCAAAAATTCAACCAGGAAGAACAGTGTTAAATACCAAACCAGCACCTTCCATGGCCTCCTTCTCCAGCAGGGGTCCAAATATAATTGACCCCAATATTCTCAAGGTAATGTCCATATAACATGATTACTTATTATAACAGTTGAAACCATGTGTCATGTCATCATGCAATTGATTTATTTATTGTACATATATCAAAAGTAACACTAACATGTATATTATTTCTAGTTTCGAATTTCTTTAATCTTTTTGGACTTTCAGCCTGACATTACAGCTCCAGGAGTAGAGATATTGGCAGCATGGACAGCTAAAGATGGCCCTACACGAATGACTTTTCACGACAAACGAGTGGTTGAGTACAACATCTTCTCAGGAACTTCAATGTCATGCCCTCATGTTGCAGCAGCAGCTGTTCTTCTCAAAGCCATATACCCTACTTGGAGCAGTGCTGCTATAAGATCTGCGCTCATTACTACAGGTAACTTCAAGATCAAGACACACCAACCCTCTTGGGTACAAGTACGACTCCCTTGGACTTGGTTGGTCCATTCTCCTTGGACTTCACACCTGACTTTTATAGTGGCACAAATAAACATGGTTTGCTGCAAGACCTGATCATATAGAGGCCAATCTTTTTTCTCTTTTTGAAAAAAAAAGCAACAAATAAAACTATAGCAATCAAAAATCATCAATGGACTGAATGGCAATGATTTATTGATCTGTTTATATTGCATTAATACTTTGCTATTATATTATATAACCAAAAAGTACAAATTTTTAACTTAACCATTGGGATAACTGTATTAGAACATCATCATTCTCAGCACTATAATTCCCTGCCATGCATTCCAATTTTCCTGTCTAATTCCCCACTCTCGTAATAAATTTCACATACATGTCGCATTCCCTCATGTAAAATATGTGTTGAAATTGATTTAGACACGTATCTCAATTACATATAATACTTAAAAATCAACTTTACCAAAATCTAAAACAAACAATCACTGAATTATGTTTTTCTTGCAGCCATGACAACAGACAACACTGGCAATCCATTGAAGGATGAAACTGGAAATATTGCAACACCTTTTGCTATGGGTTCAGGCCACTTACACCCCAAAGGAGCAGCAGATCCAGGACTGGTTTATGATGCATCCCACATGGACTACCTTCTTTACACTTGTAGCCTTCGAGTAACTCAGAGATCAAATATTACATATAACTGTCCAAAGTCATTTCCTGAACCGTTCGAGCTCAATTATCCGTCCATACAAATCCATAGACTCGACTACACTAGGACTATTAAGAGGACAGTCACCAATGTTGGTATGAGCACAAGTGTATACAAGTTCAGTGCCAAGTCACCAAAGGAGTACTCTATCAAAGCCACTCCAAACATTCTAAAATTTAATCATGTTGGTCAGAAAGTGAACTTCATCATCACAGTGACAGCAAACATGAGTCAGGTGAAGTATGGCCCAGATAAGTACTATTTTGGATGGTATGCTTGGACTAACGAACATCATGTCGTAAGAAGCCCAGTGGCAGTATCATTTGCATAAAAATAGCAGCGTGTCTGCATATTTTCATTAATATATTTTGGTGCTTTTTCCTTCTGACATTTTTCTTGTGCTATCCAAATTCCGAAGTCCAAAGGTCAAATAATTGGAGAATATTGGAAAGGCAGGAAACAGATAGGATACGGATTATTAAAGCAACGTCGGACAGTGTGACTAAGAATGCGAAAGTAGTGTTATCTGAGGATTGATTGTCCTTTCATTCAAGATCGTTTTTCTGCTGCTTCTTTTCTTTTTTACCTTTTTCTATCTTTATATATGTGCACAGAGAGAGAGAGAGGAGAATACTTCTCATTTTAAGAATAAGAGGATTATAAATATAGACCATATAACTATATATGAATAGTCAAAATTAAAAGTTAAAGCTCACCATCTATAATCACCATCTATAAAAAATTATTCTGCATATGCTCTATGAACATTATAGCCTTTTTTAGTGGCATCATGATCATGGTTAAGCCTGACTTTGCTGGTAACTTATACAATGCCATCATAGATAGAACCTTCAACAGCGTGAACACACTTTTACTTTTTGGCGTTTTGGATAATGTATAAGCACACAGAATCAATTTTATTCAAACTCGAACTTATAATAGTTCACCTAGATGCATACTTTATCAAGATCTTTGAATTTCTTTTCACTTTTGTTAACAGGAAAAAAAATTATATATATATATATATAATTAGAAGTTTGAAAAGGGGGTGTTAGCTTGGCGTTTAAACGGTAAAGGATAACCCAACTCCAGGAATTCATAGGCATCCAAAAGACAATTACAACCATTTTTTACCGGGTTCTAGTGTCTTTCAACATAAGAATTAGAAAATTGTTTAGGAGATTTAGGGATATTTTGTACGAAAACCTTTGAGCAATCATTTGTTCAAGTCCCAGGTGGTCGGTCTTTCTGTCACGTCCATCTCTAAATCAGTAGACTACTAATACCTGCCCAAGTTTAGCAAAACAAGAATATAAGGTTGGCTGAATGAACAGTGATTGTATGCAATAGTGTCCAACAGCAATCCTATTCATCGGCAAATTATATGAGGTTGGTTGAATCATTTGTGAATCAAGACAAGCAAATGTTATCCCGGACAGTTCCATCTCAATTCAGCGGAACTCTCATTTATCCAATTCTACGCTTCATATGCTTCTGAATTAGCTTGCTAGATGGACGAATACAAAGGATCACAGAGATGCGGCCATCTGTTCGCAATTACTGTATCTTATATCCACAATAATGTTGATGAAACGCATCGTTAGTGTGGGTAGAACTAAGAAAATTAGTTTCGGATGTAGACACTAAATCTATCTTATATGTTAACGTGTTTTGCACTGAATACATACTTATCTATATATTACAACATCGTCATTTTTAAATTTAGGGTGCAGTGCCCCAATCCCTCAATGTAATACAATCCCTGATTGATCAGTAGCTATGTTGGACCAAATGGGTTAGCCACAATGCAACAGCAGTAGAACACAAGACAATTGCATCAAAACAGCAGATCCCAGACATTAAGATCTAGTGGTGTCCTCATTGACGTGTACTAATGTACTCATTCCGATTGGTTGATTCCCTATCTTCTTCCCATGCTTCTGTTCTAATTCTCACCCGTTGACCATTAAAGTGAATGTACTTCCATTTAAGCCCATATCGTTTTATAACCAAATTCCGTTTCTCTTCCTGGCCTAGTTTTCTAAAGGCACTTGCCACTCTCCTGACTGTATCTTCATCCGGTTTTACGTGCAACTCCTCCATATCTGCAAATATCTGAAATGAAACAATATGTTAAGGCATAAAAGAGTTAAATTCAGAATTGCATAATAATATTCATGTAAAGGTGTATCACTGTAGAGAGATAATGATAGGAACAAAGATACCTCTACAATTTTATCTGGCAAATTATGATGATCATACAATGCGATCATCCTAGAAAACAATCTTTTTGAGACAGAACGCACGTGGGCATGGATGATCATATTCCACAACGATTCTGCCTCATCTACCCTCTGATCCATATCAAATGCTAGAAGAAGGGTGTCATATGTTCCCATTGTTGCTCCTTGACCTTTGCTTAACATCCACTTTGCTACCTGAGTATTAACCAAGGATTGATAATCAATGAAATTCTTTTCCATTCCTCACAAGTAAACCAAACATGAGATCATCATATAAGTGCATAATTTTCCAATCTTGATATACAGATAAATGCAGTAAAAAATTATGCATACTTATACGACCTAAACAACCTGGATGACAATACAAGAAGATATAAACAATGTCAATATTGTGGGATGAAACATTATTATGAAGAAAAGAGAATTAAATGAAAGCGTACGGATATAAGAAATGTATTCAAGATTCATGTCTATTTGTAACTTGAATACATTCTGCTACATCAAAAGCTGAGGGAACACTTTAATGAGCTAAAGAAAGGATATGCTAAATTTAAAAGCACAATTGAGCAATTTCAGCATTGACTAACACTCAAATTCATTTGTTGAAATTTTAACAAATAGCCATCATTCATTTCATGAGGATATGATGATTTTAAAACCTAGGGAACTTTAAATAAAAGCATATCAGCTCTAGGGCATGTTAAGAAAAAATTTATCAGTCATCAATAAACTGAAGGTTACTAGATGTCAAATATTCTTTAAAAATTCATAAAGGCAAACCAAAGCATTTGGCAAGATACATAACAAGAATTCTTTAAAAGACTAGTGATCATACTTGAATTACACGAACCCACTGACCCCTTTTCCTTAAGATTTTTAAGGCCTTTGCCACAGCAATCAGTGGGAACTCTGTTTCCCAAGCTGTCCATTTGTCTAATGCCCCATAAACTGCCTCTTTCTCATTAGGGAGTTTAAAAACCTGCCATTTAAAAATCCTCATGCACAGAACCAAAATCAACACAATACAATAAGATTAAAAAGATATCCTCTTGTTTGTTAAATTATTTTCTTGGTACCATTTTTTTTATCTTTAGTATTTAAAATATGTTTCATTCCATACCCTGTAAAACCAGATTCTCCACAATCATCAGCACCCCCATGATCTGATACCACGTAAGAAATTGAGAATGAGGGAAATCTCGAGAACTCCAGAAACCGAAAGTAAAATATTGGAAAGGAGAGAAATCACTCTGTGTATCAGAGTGAAAGTTGATGTACTCAATCTGTTAACTGACAATAACATAATGCTATGCATAAAGACGTACGTTACAGTTAAAGAAAGTAACAAATAGCCTATTCTAACTAATCAATCAGTAACTGACTTTTTTCCAAACTAGTTTTATTTTAAATACAGTTGGTGATAAAATATCATTTCATGGAAAAAAATTTTAGTACTCCTCAATATGTACTTCCTTCCCTTGAAAGAAAGACACCTGATGTGTATGGTTTATTTTTGTCATATTTAATTATTTAAATAACAAATAAGAAAAAAACAGCTACATTAAGAAAGATCACTGCAAAGGAGTTGACATTGCAGGAGTACCGAAAATTTACTCCAGATCATAGCAGCGCTGATGAATGTGAAGAATCCAATAATACCCCCAAATCTAAGATTCTGAATCAGAAGATCAATGGGTAGGTAAACATACAGTTCTCACTAGGTTGAGTGCCTTTTGGCCAGACTGAGCTGAATCTCTTCTTTTCCACAAGTGGTGCTCTATCTTTCCTGGTCTCTTTTTCCCTTTTCTGCATTCCATGTAAAACAGATTATTCACCAGACCAAGTGTGCATTACAAGATGAAGAAAATGGAATCAACAACCTACTTCTCCTTGCCTTCAGGACTACCATCTTTTGGGCTAAATTTTGATTGAACAATCATACAACGAATACATGTAGTCTGCAACGAAAAGCAGAATATTTGAAAATTTCAAAAAGTCATATACAAGAAATGCAATTGTTATGTTATTTTCCGAACCAATTGTTACCTTTGGTAACACGGTTATAGTGGTTGTTGAGAATTTATTCCCCGAGAGAAGAGCTCTTGTATTGTCTGTCTTAGGCTGAGCCAGAAGATAAGAATGCGATTATAGCAATGCAATGGTTTCTTTCTCTAATAATTACTAAAAGAACACAGCATTACCTGACATATCCGTGACAGCAGAAGAGGAGAAGCAATTGAGCTATCATGTGCCAAGGGCATCATGCCTCTAAAAGTTGGAGAAGTGTTAGCTGTTTGCTTGATACAGTGGAAGGGATACGGATCCTCTAGAATTATCAAATTACAACATTGCTAGTAGTAAGTCTCCAGAACTAATTTTCTCATATTTCATATTTTATTTCTCTGCAGTAGCATCCTTTTTTTTTTTTCAACAAAGTGGGTGAATCATAAAGTTTTTAGTATTGAACTATAATGTGCTGGTTTCCTCTGTATAAAACCTAATTATACATATCATGTTCAAAACTAAAATGTCACTCTGGAAATTAAATGGTATAAGTGTACAGAATTGATTCTAGAAGGAGTACAAAAGGTCTGCATTCAAAAAGACTATTAAAAGAAGAATCACTCTTATTATGCATTCCTTCGAACACTAGATATGCACGAGAAAATCAACACTCGTTCTTCCAAAACAAATCATTTTGACAGTCTCTAAAACCCTGTGTCACAGCAACTGCTAGTCAAACCGAAAATGGGTATTGTATATCAAAATTGATATTATATATGCAAGCAACATAATAAAAGGGACGCAATTGATTGCATAATGATAATGCCGCAGCAAGTCCTTACTCCTCACCCAATAAATAATTAAACTCTTACCCTCTCCGTCGAATTTTCCCTTTCCTACTCGTCACGCACAAGGGAAAATTCGCATGTGCTCTTAACTGAAGCAAGTCGAGTATAGTCACTGAGATTTACCACAATTTTTTGCTTTTTTGGGTAAACGATTTTCAAAAGATTACGTGAATACTCTCGACTGTGTTTAATTTTATCTCTCTTACCCAGCTGCATGTCTGGCTTCGGGCTTTTGGGCTCAGTTTGTTCTGGCTCTATTGCTTAGTTGCCCAAATAAAATAAAAAAGAGGAGTTAATGTGAAAGTTATACAATTGACCCAAAACAAAAAGAACAATTAATCTTCCCATTTATTTGTTCCAAAACAAACTTGATATTTTGATAAGGCTTTCTTTTTATTTAAAACCTACCTAGTAATGATGTAGTCCCATCATTAGACTAATCAAGATTATAATCGAAGATTTAGAGTTGTTGTTAGTTTAAAATTTAAAAAATCAAAATTAGTTTTAAATTTATGATTAATGCCATTTTTGGTATTTAAATATTAAATTCAAACTACACAAATAACTTATATTTTTTTCATTCAAACTTGTTTGATAACTAATGTAAATAATGAATGACAATGACAACAATACACTAGCACGGGGATTAGTGATAATTTTAACAACAGGAAGATATGGTTACAGTGACAAATATAATTGACTAGTGACAATAATAATTATAGTAGTTGTTTGCTGATAACAACAACGGCAATGAATAACAATCAAAACTCTTTTTATAATTCTAAAATTAAGCTGAAATGTTAAATTTTAATTCATTTAATTTCACTTCAAATTTAGTCAAAAATATTTATTTTTTAATTTTATATTTATTACATATTAAATTTTGAAAAACTTGCAACAATCCTGAACAAATACTAACCTAACTAGGACGTTGCCAACCTCACATTAAATAAAATGTATGAAGTTAAATATTACGTATAGCTATGTCGCATTCGAAGGTCAGAAATTAAAACTAAATGATGTTTTATGAAAAAAAAATATCAGTATTAAAAATTCTTTACAGTATTGTGTAAAATTTATTATTTTAAATAAAAAATGTTATAATTTTCATTATACATTGAGCCAGTGTAGACTATAATTTGAACTCAACCTAAAATTCAATCAATTATAACCAAACCCATCCTAATATTAACTTCCAGGGCGGGAGTAGGTCTTCAGCACAATTTGATTTGACTATAATCTTTTGATGGATGAAAGCCGCGAAAAACATCGTGGAGTATACATATTTTAAGAATAAATTTTTATGTATATTTATTTAATTTGAATCTAACTTAAGCTGCATACTTAAATATAATGAGTTTATAACTGTAAATTTTTGCATACATAAAAACTTAAACTTAAAACTTTATATAAGTAAGATGGAGCCGCTTGCTACTCAGATCAACTTCTATTGGTGTACATATTTTATTTTAAATCTAAAAAATAATAAAAAAATACTATAATAAAATTATAGTTTTAATGCTAAAAATTTTTTTTGACAAATTTTAAAGACAAATAAATAGTGTATTTAAAGTCAAATAAATCTTATCACAAGTTTATCTTAAGCAATCGTTGTCTAGTTATAAAGGTGATTATACTATGAATCTATATATATATTTCTTGAAATTAAATAAAATTTTGCTTATTACTTCTTTCTTCTTTTTTTTAATACGCGAGTGTGATTTGTGCATAGTTATATAGTTTCCTAATATGTTAGTCCAACCAAAACAGAAAAGAAGGACTCTTGATACCATTGAAAGAATGCAAATCCATTTTATTCACAGCAGTCACATGTTCACCATTTCCAATTATTATTGAACTGCAAGCCATTGCAGTGATACAGTTTCAATGTATATCCATCACACATTCACATGTACAATCAGATAGACTTCTACGACAATCATATAATCAGATACTCCAAAAGTTTACCAGTTTGGCACTCATTAATTATTACAACAAAAGGCTGCAAAACTTTCTGTCTCAAGTATATTTTCTTGTCTCAATTCCCACAACGCTAAGAATTAAACTTTTTGCTTAAATTGAAATAACTTAGACTCTAAAATTCGGCAAATTTATTAAAATATTGTAAATTCAAAAACAATTTATTATTTTATAGGAAATCTGAAACAATTTTTTAATCTGGGGTATTTTTGCCACGTGGAATAGAATTTCGCCAAACGGCTGGCGAAAGTATTAACTATTTCACCAAAAAAAGAACGAAATACGACTTCTTAGAGCGGTCAAAATGGAACCGCTCTCATAACCCATTTTAAAAGAGCGATTCACGAGTTTCGCCAACCGAAATGCGAAATGTAATGCAGTTTCGCATATTTGATGGCGAAAATTTTCTTTTAATATATTTTTAAAATAATTTCGTTATCGGACTGGCGAAACAAATACCACTTTCTTCATTTTCCTGGCGAAATTGAACGTTATATATATCTCCCACCCATCTCTCATTTTCATCGGAAGGATAGAAGAAAATCTCAGGTATGTGTTATTTAATAATTTTATTATTTAATTTTGAATATATAATTTTAGTTATATTTAATTAATGAGTATTGTTTATTTTATTTATGTTAATTATTGTAAAGTTTAAATATTAAATAAAGTTTATTTGAATAAAATGCAGGATGAGTGAGATTGTTATTATTATATATTGGAATGGTAGAATCTATGAAGGAAATGAAGGAGTAAGTTTTGAAGGAAGTAAAAAAGTAATTCAAATAAAATGAGGAATAAGTTATGAAACATTGAAAAGAAAAATTCATGTGAAACTCAATCTTAATCATAATCAAGTGATTTCTAGATTAATTTTTTGTTTTTTGATTGATGAAAATATTAGACAGTATACAGTTTTGGATATATGTGATGATGAAGATATTGATTGTATGATAAGTGCATTTCAACAACAATCTAGTAGAAATATTATTGAGTTATATGTAAATATTGCTGTTGGTGGAAGTTCATCAATGTCCTTACAGACGATAAATTTAAATTTATCACTTTCACAACAAAATGATAATAATAATTTATATTTTACTAACATATTAATAATACATAAATTTTATATAAATACAATTTTAAAATTTTACTTCAATATAAGTGTAAAAATTATTTATTACAATCAAACTAAGTATAAATTATTATATTTATTTTATTTAACTCAATTTTTATTATTCTGTATTTTAATAAATATCTATAATAATTCCTGTAAACAAATTTTATAAATCTTAATTTAACCTATCTTCTTAACAATTAATTATAATTTTATATTTTAATTAACTATATCACATTTCATTTTTTCTAAAAACATATTAATCTATATATAAATAAATAAATAATTATTTAAATTTTAAATTCTTTTTTACTAATCTTTAATAAACTTTCAGCATATTCTTCACTCACTCCCACTTAATTACCAAATCACTTACATACGTAGAGTTTAAAAATATTACAATATTATTATCAGATTTTCTAATTAACAAAATCAAATTAAACATAATATATAAATGCATGTTGTTAATGTTCCATACCTCTTACAATCGTAGCAGTATTTGATCCTTCACAGCAAATCAAAACAAATTTTGAAACTTCGACGATGATAGAGGAGGAGGAGAGACGGAGAAAATGGACGACGAAAGAGGAGCAGAGATGGAGAACATGTAAATGGAAAGGAAGGAGGACGACGGTCAAAAGCGGTTTCGCCAGCCGCAGTGCGAAATGAGCTTTCGCCAGTAGCAGTGCGAATTATCTTAGATGTTGCCACGTGTATCAAAAGCCCCCTTAGCCGTCCATTTTAAATCTAAGAGAGCGGTTCCAGCAGAACCGCTCTCTAATATGCACTTCTGAGAGCGGTTCATTTGAACCGCTCTCTTAAATGAGTTATGAGAGCGGTTCTGCTGGAACCGCTCTCTAAAATAGACCTATGAGAGCGATTTTAATTTAACCGCTCTAAGAAATCTTATTTCGTTCTTTTTCTGGCGAAATAGGTATTAAACAATTCAAAAATTACTACTTTCGCCAGTCGTTTGGCGAAATTTTGATCCAACGTGGCAAAATCACCCCAACTTGGGAAATTGTTTCAAATTTTCTATAAAATAATAAATTATTTTTTAATTTACAATATTTTAATAAATTTGCCCTAAAATTCAGTGATTTGTTGGGCCTGAATTTAGCATCACATGCGGATCATAGTTCCTACAACTTTAGGAAGATGTTAATTTGCCTAAACAACGATAGGTCCGTTCCTTGTAAAACAAGCAAGAGAATGATGATAAGCATTAATAATTAATTCATATCTCTTCATTATCAAACAGTGAATTGTGGAAATGATACTCACGAAGAATGAAGGAATGTGAAATTGTAACAGGATCATTAACCTAAATTACTGTTGATGTCGTTCTCATCAAGATAGAGTATATGTACGTCAAGCACCCTCTTAAGACTGCTTTCTCAGTGACAAAGTCTTCATCAATTGCCACTTGAATTAGGCTACACCTCTCTCTCTCTCTCTCTCTCTCTCTTTCTCCATGCCTAATTTTGGCTCAATCATTTTTTTAATATATTCTCTTTCAATATCATTTCCTTTTGCGTTTTGTATTCATTCATTCCAGCTGTATCATAAATAAAAAAACAAAATGTCAAAGTAAATCATATTTCATTCTTCCCTGAAGTGGCTTGAGGATCTACGTTCACGACGTAGCTAGAGGAAAAATCAATTCTTAACCCAGTTGTCAAGTATTGATCCGTAGATTATTGAGAATGCATACATACAAAATAGAATGACGATTTGAGCAAAAAAAATAAGACGTTTGTCTCTGATCCAAAAGTTTGGGATATATTTATAATTAAACTGAGCACATCTTAATTGAATCCAACTTCTAAAACTGATCTCTTCAAATAAAAATTATAATTTTTTAACGTAAGTCTTATCTAATTTTGAAATTTTTAATACAATAAACTTGTTTTTTTTTAATAAAAATCTATCACCTTTAAATGCTTAAACTCAAATGTAAAAATAATAAAATTTATTTAAAAAATTTACAAATATTTATTATTTTATCGTGCTTACCTATTTCGGACATTTGATTTTCGCTAATCATTTTTCAAACATTCATTTTAGGTGGAAATTTGTAGAAGACGAGGGTTTGCATTATTAAGTTATATAATAAACTAAAACGAATTGTATGAGTAAGACCCTTGTGGAGGAAACTAACATTGCTTGGAGGAGTAACTATACTCACTAGCATATTCCATAGAACAAAAAGAAATTTCAAAACAAAGAAAGATAAAACTATTGACCCTAAGAGAATATTAATTTTAATTTATAAATATTCAAATTAAATGATGTTTTTATTAAGTTTTTCTAGAAAAGAAGAATCTAAGTAACATTTTTCATATAAAAAATACTCAAACAGCGAGGGGAACGTAGCAGCGAAGCAGGGCTAATCATTAGGACCCTCACCCAGAGGAGCACGTGGAAATGTGAGAACTGACATCACAAATGGACACGTGTTAGGTGATTAGTGGGTGGTGAGGTTGAAAATCCTGGTACGCTGGGGTGACAGATATATAGTTGAGTGTGTGGGACCCTCCTCGAGAAATGCAAGCTTGAGATACGCCGAGCTGCGGCAAAACACAGACAGATAACTTTATAACTACGCTTTTTAGTTTTTACCCAATTAATCATTCTTGTCATTCCCCAAAAGTTTTATTTAACGGATACCATTAACCGTTCTTTTTCTGTTTATTAATCCTTTGTTACTTTTCTCAACTCTTTTCCTAATTTTCTGTTGTAAATTACTATTTAAACACATTAGTTCATCAAACTCTTCAATTTAAAATGGCGCTTCATTTTAATTATTTTTTAACTTTGAAAATAAAACAATTTACTTTTAATTAATTAAATAATCAAAGTAAATAGTCCAATCTCTCCTTTCAGTTCCCACGATACATTAGTTTTTGACTATTCTATTTCAGTAAGAGTGAGGACACTCTTGCTATATTACGATGCAAAGTAGTGACATGATTTCGTAAAGTCAATAACACGAAGTCATTCAGCACCAAAACAAAATAGAAAATGACATCATTTTATTCACTGTTGCTCAGAAATATAATTACATGCAGCAAAAGGGGGAAAGGATAAAAAGAATCGTCAATATTTTTAAATAGAAAAACCAAAAATGAAGCTTACACAGAGTGGCCCAGTGAACTTAATTTTACTCCTGAAGTGTAAATGAATATACCTGCAAAACATGGTGAATAAAGTGATATTATTTTTCCTTTTTTTTTCTGATGAAACGACCGACTCATGATTTTTCTAAAATATAAGAGGATTGAAATTATCTTATTAATGAATATTGGGGACCACATTTGTACTCCATTTTAGACGGATGGACCATTTGCAATCAATTTTTCAAGTGTTATTTGCCATCAGTTTACTTTCAAAAATGAAAGAAAATAAAATATCATAATAAGAATTGGTAGTTTTGTATACTTAGAGATAATTTATTTGAAATAATCAGAAATAAAGTTTAAACTAATACCTTTTTAATCCACATGCATGCTTGATCCTACGATGGGTTGTTGAATCTATCCTTATTAGTGATGTTTTTATTCTATATATACTGCTTGAGAAAAAACTAATCTAGCATCTTAATCCACGTAATGGTTAGCCTCCCACATATTAATTAAAGTTATATTCTTATATGGAAATCAATTCAAAAGGAAAATATAATTCTGAAAATATTCCAATATGATTAGAACTGAAGGCCTAAAATTTTAAGTGATAAAATGAATTGTTTTATGGGAATCCGGTTCCAAACATATATTCTCACAATGGAACAATCCTCCTTATACAAGCTAGCTAAAACCTGTTTTTGTATGATTTAAATATACAATATTAATTGGATTTTTGTTTTTTACCAAAATTAAACAAAATTAATCTTCAGGGATATTCAGTAGGAAGATTATTTTAAAAAAATAAAAAACCTTAAATTGGAAATATAAGATTCTCATATTTGATGTAAATTTTTTTTAACTATTTTTTAAATTTAATTGGCAATTTTAGGAATGAACATTCCTATGTGAGAAGGGGTAGTCAATTAAAAATCTAAATTTATATGGAAGAATAAATGTTTTATACACATTTATAACATTTTTAGAAATGATGATTTCATAAAATTTAATTTTTAAAAATATAATTGTCAATAATTAAAATTTTTTCATGCCAAACGTCTTATCAAATAATTTCCTTTAGGATATAAGCTCTCCCTGAAGAAAAAAAAAAGTTATTACAATTACCTTTCAAGATCATGTATCTGCTCACATATATTTTTTTTTCCTTTCTGAAGTCTTTACTTTTCTTTTTTAGGTACAGTTGTTCCAATAAACTTTTTAATTATCCTTGGATTAGTTGGGGAAAACGATATTAATATTATATACAAAATATATTTTAAATATAAATATATATTAGTTAATTCATTATTTTTAAGACTGAGAACTTTTTATAAAATATATTTTTAAAATTTTAATAGAAAAAATATATTTAAATTATACTTTTTTTTACTAAACATCAATATTTTATTAAAGATAAATTTAGAATATGAGAATATTTTAATCCATTACAACTTTAAAGAAAATTAACAATACATGTTAGAAGATTATTAATATAAAAGTATATTATATTTTTTATAATATTTTCTTATTAATATTAATATTTTAATAAAATATTTAATAAAAAATTAAATGATTTAATTTTTTTAAATCTAAAAATCATTTAATAATAATTTTTATCTGTGTAAGAAGTAAAATATTTATAATTATAGTTTAAATATACATTTAAACTCTATTGTTAATATTTATTTTTGAATCACCACTTATACTTAACAAACTTACATTTTCATTCTTATTCAAATATTTTGTTATATAATGTTATGATGATAAGGACTATAAAATAAAAAAAATTATAAAGATTAAAGTTTAAAATTTAATTTTTAAAGATATTTCCTTAAAAATCATTTAAAGAAAATTACTAAATATTAAGTTTTTTTTACGAATTAAGTATTCTTAGTAATTAATAAAATAAAGTTAGAAAACATTAAAGGAAAAGTAACATATATTTAATAAGGCATAACACTGGTTTGTAAAATTCATATTTATTGTCTTGCAAGTAAAAATATTTAATAAGAGTGCTCACTTCATTCTATATTAAGAACTTTGATTAAAGGAATTTTGCTTTTAAATTTATCCAAACCCGTTGTCAAAATTGGAAAGGAATTTTTTATTAGGAAAAACACTTCTGAGATTAATTAAGGGAAAAACACACACTAATCAGGAAAAAAAATGAGGGGCTGATAGGGTTACGCTGTAGTCTAAAATATTTTCTTTAAAAGAAACCCTTGTTTTTTTCTTGGTAAAAAAATAGTGTAATATTTTTGTTTCCTAATACTTACAACATTGTGGCAATGTAATTAATCAACTACTTGTATGTGTAGATGCTCAAACTATTTATTATTATATTGTTAGTATTGTTAAATTTGTTTGACAGAACAAGAGTGAAAGTGTGTGTGTAAGAAATTTATCAAATTTAATTAATAATTTTTACAATTAATTACAATCTATTTTTATCAACAAAAAATATGTCTTTTTATACCGACGTGATTATATTATATTAATTTTTTATGTTCATATTTTCATATGTAAAACTTATTTATTTTTTTCGTATATTCCAGCACCTTAAAATTATAGATTTGATTTTTTAAAATAATAAGGCGTATCAAATGAAAATGAAAGTCTACATATTATTAATTCTATTTTAAATGTTTAAAATTAAAATTATAAATTTTCTGTTTTTTATTTTTCCTTTTTTTACTTTAAAAAAATAAATTATAAAATCAACATTGTTATTATTTATCTCAGTCACACTCATTTTCCCTTAAAAAATAATTATAGTGAAGCTAGTGTAATCGGCTAAACTCTCCCTTGAAAGTATTATTGACTGACGCACTTTCCTTCATCTCCATTAGTTAATTATTGACGATCCTACGAGAAACAGACGTTGGTAACAGTCACGAATCTGTTGGTACCTATCCATAATAACAACAAAAAATTAATTAATAAAACAATTCATTGTCTTTGGAAAGGCACACGTAAACGAATAAATTACTATTATTTACCCTCATGTAATCATTCAAATCATGTGCATAGCATTAAAAAAAACTAAGACTTGATTCAGGAAGGTTAAGTTGATGACCAATAAGACGTGTTCACCGTTCTAATGATTTTGGATAAACATTGAATAGAGGACGGTAAGAACAGGAGAGAGATTTAAAAAAGTAAAAAAAGAAAGAAAACGTAAAAACACAGAACTCAAATGAATTCATACGAACAGGAAGCCACGTGTTAAGAAAAGGCAATAGAGAAGGTACAAGTTAATTGCAAGAAAAGGAAATGAAATATTAAAAGAAGATTAAAAAAAAAAAAGTGGGACCCAAGGGGAAAAATTAAGATATGGTTTTATTCAGAAAATGAGCCGACTAATGGAAACGAAAGTCACGCAGCAAAGACATGACACAATTAAGAGAAAGCAAAGAAGGGACCGCACTCAACTCAACGATCCCTTACCATGACGCCATTTCACCACATAAACCAATCCAAATGTACTCACTACCCTTTCCTCTTCTTATAAATAAAACCCCAAACCTTCACTGTTTCATTCCCAAACCTCAACCCCAAATAAAACATTCCAGTTCAAACAAATTAAAAAGGGTTTTTATTTTTTCTTTCAAGTTTGTCTCTAACTAAAACCTAACCAAATGGCCGAGGAGTTCTCAGAGTCCGAGGTTGTCTTCTCCGACCACCACCATGTTCCGCGCAAAGCCGAAGGCTTCCACGAGGTGCTGGTCGTGCCGCCGCAGAAAAAGAGTTCGCGGGGCCAGGCGGTCGCCAGTTCGCTCCCCGTTAATATCCCAGAGAGGATGCTCCGGCGGTGGGGTTCTGGCGAGGAGGAGGTGGCGGAGGAGGAGGGCATGGTTCCGCCGCACGAGATCGTGGGGCGGAGGGTCGCCGGAAAAATGGCGTTCTCGGTGTTCACGGGGAATGGAAGGACGTTGAAAGGAAGGGATTTGAGCAAGGTGAGAAATTCAGTTCTTAGGTTGACTGGGTTTCTTGAGGCGTGAAGGTTTCTTCGTTTCGCATTGAATCGTGTTTGGATGATGGGGAAATGAAAATGAAAATGGAAAGGGAGAGGGAAAGGGAAAGTGAAAGTGAATTTGCCTTCATTATTTCTTCTTGTTATTATTAATTGTCTCAAGAAAAGAGAAAAATTAGCATTGAGATCTTTTTTGGAGTCTCATTGATTAATTGTTTGTAATTGGGAACAGCAAAGGTTCAGAACATTTGAAGATTAGAAACGAAGTGAACTAATTTATTAATTTTCATATATATGCTTCATAGTTTAATTTGGTTATATTTATATTTTAAGTTTATGTATAGTTTGCTTTGCTTGTGGGGATTGTTGATTACATTGCTTCTGCGTACGATGTTCGAAGGTGTGCGCATTGCACCCACTTCTGGTTAATTCCTTTTTCTTCATCGATAGAAGAGAAGGTTTAGAAGCTAAAACCTCAACGGTTTGGGACTTCTAATTGTGCGTAGTATGTTGTTTCTTTTGGTTTCACATTTCTTCTGCTTCATCCTTTTGTTAGTGTTTCATCATTAAAAGTAAATGTTTCAACAATTTGAAGAGAAAGCTAACTGAAAAAAAGACGGAGAAGAAGAGGTAGTAGTCTGGTACGTTTTATCAAAATAAACTTCATTGTTTGTAGGTTTTTTTTTTTATAATTCTGTAGTTGAAATTTGCTTCAAATTCATTCTACGAAGAACTGATTAATCGCACAATTATGAGTGTGAGACTAAATTAAAAACAAGTTAATAAGCAGCTGGCTAAATTAAATGAATGCAGAATTGAAATAAAATTTTTGTCCAAGGAAAATACTAATAAGTATCTTAAAAATTAAAAATAAACTTTTAATTAAGAATCCAATAATATATATATATTTTATTACTATTTATTAATTATTTAACCAGTGTATTAAAGACAATGAATAATTAATAAAATCCTTTGTCTAAATAAAAAATTTAGAATGAGGTGTGTGTTATATAAAAGGGAACTGAAGGGTAAGATGGGTTTTAATTATGATTAGGCAGAAAGACAGGAAAGGATAGGCATTAACAATGAGTTGTCTACTTTCCCCTACAATGGCGATATTAGAGTCTTAATAGAACGATGATGTGAGGACAAGACAATAAGCTTGAGAACCAAATTTGGCAATCCAATTATAGCCTCAACAATTTTTGTTTGGCATCCATTGGATGTCTCATAATTGCAGTAGAGGGATCGTTTCTCTATTTTCTTTTTCTTGAACCTACCTCCTCTCTTTCATATATATATATGGGACATGTATTGAACATCGTATTTTCAGGATGAAATTAGTCATATGTGGGTGCATGTTACATCAATTATTTGGTTTTAATGTTTGTTTGCAGATTCACCTTGGTAATGTATTGTTATAACATGGACTGGAATTCTCTCCCGCGAACTGTACGGTCCAGTCAAGCAAACATTAAAGAGAGAGATAGGTTCAAGAAAGTTGAACGGAAATAGGTTCAAGAAAAATAATACCTTTAGATACTAATTATTATTTAATCATCCTTTAATAACTTAATTTATTATCATACCGTGCTTTATGTATATAACTAATGTTATATTATAAATATATATCTGTTTAATGAATTAAAGTGAGAGAGAAAGAGAAAAAAAACAAAGTGATAAGATAGGTAATTAAGGGGGAAATAGAAAAATATTATTATCATCATTATTATAAGAATTTTGTATATAAATATAATTCTTAAAATTGAACGGAGGATCACCAGTATGAGGGTTTATATCCCCAAAAGAGAGGTAAGACCATATCAATATGCAAGTTACGTCTAGATACAGAGTTTACTTTTTATGGATCCTGCCAAGTTTACAGTTTACCATTAATTTTATTATTATTTTTAATAATTATACTCTATACTCTTAATTATCTGAATCCTGTAAAAATACAAACCATGAATATTTTTTTTCTTTATTGGGATGTATACGCTCAAAAATATTTTTACAAACTATTTTATCACAAATTCAAGGATAGGAGGGTTGAGTAAGTGTGATTTGCCAAGACATTATTCAGATCAACGATAAAATAAGCCCTTATAATCGCGTAAAGAATAATAATAATAACTCGTGCTATGCAATTATTTAATATTTTTCATTTGGACATTCTTAATTCGTAAACTATTGAGTAATTAAGTTTGGTTGATTGCACCAAACAATTGGACAATAAGGTAAGTTTACTATCAATTTATTTTAAAAGAAAAAATAATAAGGGAAATATTATTTTTTAGGTTATTATCTTAATTTTTTCTTCAACTTAATAAAAATTCATTGTTACCTATATTTATTATGTCATTTAAATACACCATTAAAGTGATAATAATATGATTTTTATAAGAAAAAAAATTATGGTTATTAATTACTACGGTACTCAGCCAGTTGTTCTGTCATAGCAAAGTACATACTTGTAGATTCGTGACACTATGGTGTACTATATTGGTACTTCATCATTTAATGTTTGATTATGTCTGAACGGTACGAATGGAACCATTTGCCATCTTTCGATACCTGGTCATTAATAACGATGATTTTTTATGATTTTTAAATATGGTTGTATCAAACAAAAATAAAGAAATGAAAGATTTTAAATTTTTTATAAATTAAATAAAAAATATCAGATTAAAATATTACATACAATATTATTTTTGTCATATAATTAATTTAAATGCTATATTTATATACTATTTAAATTGATATCATAACATCTATCATTATTTTTTTTAAAAAAATTGTTTTAACAACTAAATTAATAGATAAAAGGAAACATTTTAAATCATAAATTTCAAATTTTAAAATGCTTAATTTTATCGATTCAAGGAGCCAAGAAAGATTTTAATTTCAATAGCAGGCTTTTTTTATATGAAAAAAAAAATACTAAGAATAGGATTTTGAGAAAAAATTATAGGAATATGGATAATTTTCAATAACTGTATTAAACTGAAAAATCATTATTGAAATTTTTTTTTATTTTTTTTGAAAAAATGTTATTAAAAATTGTTTGCTTTTAAAAAATGATAAATATTTAGAATGCTAAAATCTCTACACTTGCACCAAAAATGATTATTCTCTTATTTTTATATTTTCATAATTATTTCAATAATTTAATATATTATTTTGAAATGCCATGTAAAAATTTGAAAAACAGAATAGTAAGGAGAGGAGGATATGTGAGAAGGGAAAGTGTGGTGGGATCACAAAATCCAAGCTATTTGGTTGACAACGAGACCACGTGCTGTGAAGATGTCAGCAACACGTGTACAGCATGATCAACCTGTCCCCAAAGACCAGATCAAACAGAGTTCATCACAGTTTGGTGAAAATAGAAAATTCTGCAATTGAGTTCTTCCATAAGATCCGTTCCCCTCTATTAAATTACAATATCTACCGTCTAATTTGGAGGGTTGTAGTTTGTGGTTGCAAGGTATCTCAAATTATATGATCTCAGCTATTCACCTTATCACACATTTTAACTATTTTTTCAATTATTCAATTTATATAGGTATTATATCATGATTCATCGAGATCACGCAATGTTGAAAATTTTGACCTGTGTGAAAATTTTTCAATGACTAAGCCTAAACATATATTTTATGCATTGGAATTACTTTGATTGAAAGAAAAAATAAAATGAAGAATCAAACAGAGATGTTAACGTCAAGCAAATATCATAATTTAAGTCGATTTCTAACTTATCATTTGAGTAATTATTTATTAAATCTTAGTTATGGTGATGCGTTCCGAGTAGCAAGTGTGTACTTTCACATTCAAGTTTCCTTTTCAGTTTTTTGCACGGTTTTAAAAATCTTGCAAGTGTAATATTTATACACTGCTTTATATTATTAAGAATAGGTACTTTCAACAATTTGTAGAGTTAATATATTCACAAGTATTTAGAATTAATTTTTTTCATAAACTTGACGACATGGTTGGTTAGTTATGTTCTTCATTAGTTATTATTTTAATTGGTAGTTGAGTTTCATAATGATGGATTTATTTTTTGGTACTTGATTTCATTAGTACAGGGTTGAAGAGATTGGTCCTCGTCCCTCAATTAATTATTATACTAAGACAATCGTTAGGGACAAATATAGTCACTTTGATCTTATTTTAGAAGAAAATAATCAATAATTTATTTGTTCGAATTTATATGTTAAAGTCGACAAACAGATTATCTAGACAACAAATAATTTAAATTTAATTTAAACTAAAAGAATATGTTCACATTTGACAAATTCAATTTTTACAACCTCTTAGTACGTTTAACTTGCAATAGAGTTAATTGGATCAAGTTGAAAATTTTATATTTGACGCGTGTTTTAAATTTAAAATTAAATTAGTACATCTTATTGAGCATATTTGAATTGACTAAGTTAATAAACTCATTTTACTAACTCGAAAATACATGGACAAACACAATTTTTTAATGCACGTTCAAAGATATAAAAAATAATAATAAATATGTTTAAAGATTATAACATTTAATGTTATCAATACGTATAATTTTACAATATAACGTGATTTTAATAAAAAATTATTGTGCATAATTTTTATTATGTGTTAAACAGATTATATATTAAAATATAACTACATAAATTATAATTAAAGATGTACTTCACACTTCTTTTCTTTTTATATTTTCTTCTGCAAATAATGTCGTACACGTACGATTTTAGAGTTTGACAATAAATTAAAGATGAAAAATTGAAAATACAATTTTTAATATTGATTTTTTAATATATATTAAAAAGTATATGTTAAATATATAAATATATATTTTTAAATATTTTAAATTATTATAAAAGGTATTTATTATTTGTTAACAATTTCAGGATTCGACAATAAACTAAATATAACAATTTAGGGATATATTTTTAATATTATTTTTTAATTTTTTGCTGAAAATACATGTTAAAAATATTAAATATATAATTAAATATTTTAGGCTATCATAAAAAATATTCATTGAATATTTTATTTTTTGAATAATTCTTACTTAATCATAAAAATATGTTTGAGGAAGCATGTTCTTGACATTTTTTATGAATTGACGTGGGTCTCACTTCAAGAAATATTTTAGCCATATAAATAATTAGGTAGCTAAAAAATTTGTGACGTAGATGACGTTTTAAAAAATCTAAATTCTTCATGCCGATACATCGTTTTCTATTGTAGATGTTTTATTTTAAACTGTTGATTATTATGTTGATATGAAAATATGTTTGCTTTTATTGGGGCCTAGCCCTTGCTTTTAAATATGAGCAATTTTGTTATTTTTAATTTAATATTTAAACGCTGATATATATTCCACCTTTTTTCTTCTGTTTTCTACTGATTTTTCATTGTACTGTATAGCATTACTATATATATGCGATTGTTTTGTGTATTTGTTGAAACCTTTAGCCAAAAAAAAGTTGCCAAATTAATGATTTAGCATTACCGGTCATTCCATATATTTAGCCTTGCACGGATAAATTTTTTTTGTCTAAATTTATATTAACATTAGAAATTTTTATGGACATTGTATGAATATTATTAAATTAAATTAAATTTTTTAAATAAATATTTAAAATCATATCATACATTTATAAACCTTTTTTTGCAAAGTTTTAAAAAGAATAAAAATTATAATTATTACTATTGTATGAAAATTAAAAAATTCAAAATTTTTAAATTAACATTAAATTAAAAATAATTAAATAATGTAAATAATTTACTTGATAAAAAAAATCTCTAAAAATACACTTGTTTCATAATATTTATAAAAAACACTATCGTTTAAGAGTATTTAGAAATAATTTTATTCAAAAATTAATACTTACAATTTGCATTTTAAGCATCTGAAAATTATTCTAGAAAAAACGAATTAAGACTTGTTTGAGGTGATTGTGAATTTTTAGCTTTTGATTGTCAAATATAACCTTTAAAACATTAAAATTTAGTGTGTGGAATTTAAAATTTGAAAAAAGTAAGACGACTTAACACTAAAAATTAAATTAAATTAAATTAAATTATTTAAAATTTAAAACTTTAAATTAATAATCACACGGGACCTTGATAACTGCAATTTCATTTATAAAAGTTTACAAAATAAGTGGAAGTTAGATTAATTTGTTTTTCTTTTCTAACTCTGAAACGTGATATTGAGGACACGAGTCATTATCCAACCTTCGTGCCTTATCCATTACTGTTTATTAATTTAAAGCATTCAAAGTGACACAATGGTATCAGAAGAATGAAATCAGATCCTAAACTACGTGGGAATTAGGAATTGCGCATTCCTCTGACTTTATTAATATTCCTTCCGGTAAAAGACAAGTTCAAAATTTTTCGTATCTTTTTGAATCTCTTAGAAAGAAAGTGCAGAAAGGACCGATCAACCAAGGTACTAAAATCAGAGGAATAATTGGTGGCATTATCCATTTCAACAATTCCTTCATTCTTCATAGCAAAACGTAACAAGCAGATAGTAGCAATACGCGTAGCAAATGGATAGAGGAAGTTTCGTGCGGGAAAAAGTGTACTAATGGCGTGGGCTACTTGGTACAGTTGGGAAGCAGATTGGTAAGCAGTGTAAAAGTCACTGTACAAGTTTGGGGAAGTGATTATGACATTCATATGAAGTGATTATTGGGATATGGTTTTCATGGCTTGTGACAGTCCACCACATTCTCTCGTTTTGTCATACGTGCAGGCTTCTAATAATTGTGCAGGGAGGGACTCCTTCTACCACCTATTTCTGACTTGTGTCACATTACATTTTAGACACCAACTCTTAGGAATCAAGGCATTCTTCTTTGATAGTTAAATTAGAGCATTTGCATGGTGATTTCTTCAAGTTCATTGGTCAAAATTTGAGGCATTATTCAACTCGTGTAAAATGTACAGATTGGTGACCCCTATCCTATGCATGCAATTCAATTGGTTGGGTTAATTTGAGTACATCCAGAGGTCATTTATCCATTATTATTCAATAATTATAACACTATTACCAAGTACGATTTCCAATATTATCTAACATTATTACTAATCATTTCTCAACTTTTTAATTCAATTTGAGATAAACCAATTCGGACTGACCCGACTTGAATACAGGAGACATTTCAAAATTAAACCAAAAATTTGATTCTGAAGGAAAATGCTTTTCACCTTATTTCTTTCCCATTTTAAAATCATTTTTAAATAAGAGTTTTTTTTATCAAATATTCTTCTCTACTGACTAATTATTATCATAAAAATAAATATTACACTGGAATTAAATGTTAAGCAACATTTTTTTAACTTGTAACGTATATTACTGTTTGATTGACACACTTATCTCATTTAAGAGACCAGTCGTCCAATTAATTTAATTTTCAATCAAATATTATATATATGCATACATACTAATTATATAACAATTAGTTATTTAATTTTTAAATAAAATACAAAAAATATATTGACAATAGTGAGGAATGGGCAAGTGGCCGATTCAGTTGTCCTCTATTAGGTTTTATTCGATTAATCCTAGATCCAGTGGACAGTAAGTAACGCTTCCTTCAATTATGTTTTTTTGGTCCCAACATATTCTTCTATTTAAAAAAAATCTGGAATACAAGCCCAAAATATAGCCCACATCTAGTTATGTTGTCATGAGCCGAGCTAGCCCAAATGTGATACGATGTAACTTGGATTATAAGTTAGTAGATATTTATATTCCGATCTAGTGGCTTTAGATATTTAGACTATCACAAATCACAACAATAATAGGATAAAATTTTTGTTATATTCTCTATTCATAGTGAAATAAATTAAGACATTATTTTAACTATAAAAAAAAGAAGTGGAGTAAGCCCCAAGTAATAATAAAACAAGAAATTCGTATTAAAAAAAAAGGAGCTAAAAAGTCAAGGTCGCGCGGAGATAAGTAAAAACCCTAAAAAACACTGGCACACGAAAAAACACACACACTGACTTTGGCAGCGCTTCTCCTCTTCTTCCTTGCGGTTGCGTCGATCTACGAGGGGGGCTTCTTAGCCCTCTCTCTCTCACTCTCTGGGCTGCAATTTTAGGTATTTTCGTTCGAAACCCTAAATCTTTTTTGCTACTGTCTTAAGCTTCTTTTGGTTCCCTTCTTTATTTTGTTGACTGTTTTGTTCTTTGGGTTGCCGAGGGTAACCCACGTGATTTCGATTTTCGGTCTTTCTTCTTCTTCAAATTCGATTCGAATGCGGAACTCAGTGAAAGACTATGTGTTCTCTTTATCTGGTTATCCAAGGAAGGTTTGGTTCTGTGTGTTGATTTGAAGGGCTGGATAACATGTTGCAATTGCTTCATTTAGTAGCTGTATTTCATATTTTCTCCCTTGTCATACTTGTATAGCTATTTGATTCGTTATATTTGAATGGATTGGGTTGTTGATTTTAGAATCTTTCCTTGAAATTGTTTCTTTCGTTTTGGTTAGTTGCAATATTGGGAAAATATTTTACTGTTGTGAAAGTTTTTTCGACTTCATTATGACATGTTATATAATCTCTTTATGTTGGTGATGATCAATTTTTGTAAACAAACTTTATTTTGATTGGAAGGGGAATTTCGTTATATATAATTATATATATTTGGAGAAAGGAATTTATTTTGTATAAATGAACAAGTAGTGCGCTGCCTTTTCTGGTTACATAAATTCATAAGTTATTCTTGCTGAGATTGTTGGCAACTTCTTTTTCTTTAAATATATATTTGTTTGGGCTATCCAGGTGATTTGTCTTCAGATGGAAGCATTGCTTGCTTGACTGACGCCTTTGTCTCAAAAGGATTGGGAATTTCTGGTTTTTGAGGGCTTGGAAATTCAGAGAGTAGCCTTTCACTCCGCGATATTCCATCACCATGATTGCCACAGAAACTATAGTACCCAATAGAAAATTGAAGATCAAGTTCTCAACCAAAAGGATAGAAGTTGATTCTGGCCCAAAATGTGAGTTTGAACAGCAAGTGTCTCACATTGATGAAAGTAGGTGCTGTAAATCAAATGAAAAATCCTCTCTGCCAGATTCCAACAAGAGGGGACCAGCAGAAAGTACTGAGGGCCAGACAGAGAAAAGGCAGAAGATTGACAGGAAAGGGTCACTGCAGTGTGCTACAATTCTGAAGAGTTTAATATCTCATCCATATAGTTGGGTGTTCAGTAAGCCAGTGGATCCTGTGGCATTGAATATTCCAGATTATTTTACAATCATATCTCGGCCAATGGATTTGGGCACTATTAAATCCAAGCTGGAGAAAAATATTTATTCTGGCGCTGAAGAGTTTGCTGCTGATGTCAGACTGACCTTTTCAAATGCCATGACATATAATCCTCCTGGTAATGATGTTCATTTGATGGCGAAGGAACTGAGGAAAGTATTTGATAGGAAATGGAAAGACTTGGATAAGAAATGGAAGTGTGAAGATGAGCATGGGAAAAGTGTGACTGGAACAATTAAGGAAACTGTTAGAAGAAGTCTTAATGGGACACATCCACGGCATAAAGATACTTTGCCCAAAAAGTCACAAGTATCTGAACACAAAGGAATACATAAGATTAGTTCATTGGCAGCAAGAGATGCTAGAGTAAGTGTTGTTTTCTGGGATGGAGAAAAGCATTACTGTGATATACAAGGATACAATATATTTACTGGAATTGATGAAATAAAATTGATACTTCTACCAACTTTGTTCTCCATGATCAACTTATAGTTGGATACATCTTTTGTTTCTTTTGTGTATTTTTGAAAGATGTCATTATTTTGACAATGTTTTACTCATAGGTGGTGGTACCTAAATTATCACAGATTCCTTTCAAATTGATTGAGAAGGACTTGCACAAAGGTATGATGCATTCAGAATACTGTGTGCGTTTATGGCTCTCTAAAGGAGCTAATAGCTGTGTATTCTATAGGCAGCAAAGGTAACCATGATGGGGAACAGCCTCCTGGCTCTGTAAAGGCCTGTTCTTCATTGCGACTTGTCACACGCAAGTGTAGCATTTGTGGTGACATCACATGCCATTGTGTAATTCCTAGCAATTCAACTCAAGTGTCATCAGGTAGTTAGGCAATCTTCTGGCTGATTCTCTTATTACTGTCCTTTGTTGCCCAATTGACTTGTATTTGCACATTGATTTAGATGTGTCATCTGATGGATGTGAAGGAAGGGAGGACCTATCTGCTCGTGGTGCTGATGCTTTGAGACAGGTATTAATAATATTGTCAACATCTTTAGCCAAATTGGTGCAGCAATTCAAAATTTCATTTACTTGCTAATCTAAGAAAAAACTTCATGTCTAATTGCAGGACTGCTCTACTAAATGTACGTCACCTACAGGGAAGAAATCTGATCCTGATTCTGATGGTGAGAAGAATTTATGATTTGTGATATGTTATGTTCTACCTGTTGCTTTCATGCTGATTTGGTATACTTGATGTTGATATTATGCAAAGGTGCTGTAAGTTCTTTGGATAGTGAACATGTATGTTCTAGTTCCGAGCTTGTAACTCCTGCTACTGATGCCTCCTCGGTGGAAGGTTGGCTTCTCTTCCCTTTATGCTTTAGTTAACTGCTACCTTTTGCATGTTAATTGGTAGGATTTTAATTGGTATTTTTCTAATGTTTTAGTATGGAGTACGCCTGTTTTTCCTGCACAGTTGTCTCCTAAAAAGGCTCTTCGCGCTGCCATGCTTAAAAGTCGCTTTGCAGATACCATCTTGAAAGCACAACAAAAGACTCTTCTTGAACATGTAGGGCTTATGAAAAAGGAGTCTCAATTGCTGTACTTTTTATCCTGTTGCCTTAGTAAAGGGTACTTTTGAGTGCAATATAATATGGTTTCCTAATTTTCATTGCTCTTTTTAGGGTGATAAAGGTGATCCTCTAAAAATGCAGCTGGAAAAGGAGAGATTGGAAAGGATTCAGCGTGAAGGTGAATTCATTACTTTTTACTTGAGACATAGTAGGAATTTAATTTGGTAGAACATACCTGTATGCTTGTTTTGAATTTTGAATGCCCATCAGTACAGTAGCATCATTTGTCTCTTCTGTTTTTTCAATTTATTTGATCTTTCTATATAGGAATTAAGAAGGTGCTTCATGTAATTTATATCTACCATCAGTGTGTGTAAAGGTTCTATATATATTGCACAAACCGAATTGTCTCTGTAGGAATACCCTGTTAAATTGATGCCTTATTGGGGATATATTTCAAGTATTAGTTATTAACTTTGGGACCATCTAATATCACAAAAGACACTGGTATTGATGTTCTAGATGAAGGGAATAAAGTAAGTTATCAATGGTTGGTCCAGTAGCTAGTGTTATTTTATCATACTGTGATGCCGTATAAATTTTTTACCCTTTTCCTTTTCTTTGCTCTTTGTTGTTTAGAGAGGAACTATTTGCTTCATATCTTTTCGTTTTCTAGTTCTTAATTGGTGTATATTGCATGCACTTTTATGCTTTATCATACTTAAATTGAGTGATATGCTGCTTAACAGAAAGAGCTAGGATTGAAGCCCAAATCAAAACTGCTGAAGCTGCTGCTAGAATGAGGGCTGAGGAAGAGTTGAGACAACGAAGAGAAAAGGAAAGAGAAGCTGCACGAGCTGCAATAGAGAAGGTTTTGTTCTTTAGTTATATGTTTTTTTTTTCTTACTAGAATTTTGTATATTAACAATGAATTTTCACTTTGATGTCTTGTAGATGAAAAGAACCGTTGAGATAGAACATAATATGGAGATCATTAAAGAACTGGAAAGTTTGAGTGGCTGTACACTATCTTATAAGGCCGTAGGTGGTAGAAATGGCTACAAAGTTGCAATGGAGACGTTGGATAAACCTCTGATTGAGAACCCATTGGAGCGGCTTGGTTTGTTTATCAAGGATGAATATACCGCAGATGAAGATGAGGAGGTTTTGAACGGAGGCTGGGAAGAAGGCGAAATTTTTTAGCGACACAACTTGATGTTGTTCTGCCAGCTCTAATTGTTTATATCCTCTTAGACAGGAAATCAGATAATTATTGTAAATGCATATATTGTGGAATCTATATAGTCTGTGAATTGGGACCTGCATGGACTTGGGGGACTACCCGCCTGCAATTTTGTTTTACATTCTTGAAGCATTACCATGATCAAACATGGAAGACTCCTGTAGACGGTGTCTTTGATAGGAAAAGGCTTAAGATAAAGATGGCCTAGAAAAAAATTGGAAAAAATATATACAAAAAAAATATTTTGTTCGCAAGTGCAAGCAATTGCTTCTGGCAGAACCATGGTATTTGTATTAAGAATTCGTAAGAGAACTGTGTTTAATTTGTGGCGCCGTGCTGTTTAGTGGTGTAGTTTTTAGTACTAGATTAAAAATGTTCCTTTAAAGTGAGTTTATGTATGAACCGTATTTGTTTCAAGGTTTTTTATTATATTATTAGAATTAATGTAAAAAAATACAGTGTATTTTAGTTTTTATTTAAAGTGTAACTTCAGAAATAGAAAATCTTAATGAATCTGTAAATCCATAATTAGTGTTGTACAAATTAAATGTCGGTAGTATTTTGGTCCCTAATTGTTTTGTGTTCTTTTTGTCATAAAATTTAATGTTTGAAATTTCAAATTTGGTTCGTTACACATGCTAATTAATGATAGAAATAGGATAGGTAAATTTTGCATAAATAAGTTTTGGTTGTTTAATAATTTTAAACTTTAAGTTAGGTAAATTTTACATAAATAAGTCTTTATTTAATAATTTTAAAATTTAAGTTTGGTTCATTATCTGTCATATTTGTTATTAGTGACAAAACCAATTGAATTTTTATATAAAATTATTTAATATATTTTTATAAATTTTAAATAAATCATTCTAATAAATTTAATTATTTTTTTAAGTTTAAATCTAATCTATTTAATTAATTAAATTTTTAAAAAAATTTAAGTTAAACTTATTAATTAAATAAATTAAGCTTTAAAAAAGTTACACCATAGACTCTTTCAAACATGGCCTATTTTCATTCCTAATGCCAATGCAATGAGTGACTCAATGGCCACCAAATTGGTAACGGTCAAGTTTCGTAACACTGACTGACACACTCTTTGTTTTCCAGTTGTTGCATGAGAATTTCGTCGCTGTATTATAAAAAGATTTTATATTGATAAATAATAAAGTTAATGATTTTGTTGAAACAGATATTACCCTCTCAAGTCTAGGTACATAGCAAGCACCTATTTTCAATGGTAGAATACATAGGAGAAAAACCAATAGTGGCAGACACATGGATGGTAGATTAAATGTAGAAGCAATTAACTAAATGACTATTATTAATGAAACACATTTCAGTCTGAAAAATTATCCGTAAACAACAAATAAAAGACAAAACTGCCTTAGAATTTAGCTCAGCTACATGTCGGAGGAAAGACATGGCATCTACATGCCACTTCACACATGAAATGTACGGCATCCTTCAATTGCTACCAGTTTAAAAACGCTATACAGTTTTTATGACGTATTTGTTCTTAGCACCTCTCTCAAGGTTCTTTGCATCCTCCTGGAGAAATAGAACAAAAGCAAAACGAAACAGCAAATTATTCCCTTTTGGGATAAAGTAATACCCAAATGCGAAAGCACACATATAATTCTACTCACATGAAATATAAAGCCAATGGACTCATTATAATCAAGAAACTCCTTCCACTGCTTTCCAATGCTCACCTGTAAGAAGATATATTTAGATGCTCCTCAAGTTGCCAGATAAATGAGACAAGATTTTGGGGGGCATTTACCAAGGCCAAGGATCTATCTATAAGGACTTTTTAACAAGATCTCAGAGAAGCTTATCAAAATAAAATATACTTAGCTTATTTCAGTAAGCTTTACGGTCAAACTTATTATGATAAAAGCATATCGAATAGATACTAAGTTATTTACTCAAACATGCCCATTGACACTTGCAAGCGCACAGGCACGGCAAGATTTAGGCAGTCACAAGCATAAGCAGATACCAACACCCCAAGTGTACAAAATACAATATATCATAGAGTTGTCAGTATTGCTAATAATCAGTGTAATCAGTGTAATCACAGAATGGTAGCTTAGCAAGTTCAAGAGCAAATTAGATGTGGTATGCCTACAAAGCATTGCTCAATATTTCTGACAAGACAATTATGGTTAAATCTCCTTCCCACAATTGTTATCTTCAGCCCTTAAAAGTAAGTTTAAGCAACAATATTAAAGTTTTATTGAAAAAAGTATTTATCACACTTTTGCATCTCTAATGTAATAAAAGGCTTCCTTTTTAACAGAAATCTACTGTTTTAGGATGTTTAAACTCAATGCTGTGGATAACAAAATCGTTAAACTACTCAGAACTGTGAATATCTATCTGTTCTTTACACTCATACTCAAAAGCAATAGTAAGAGGGGGGCTCAACAATGTTTTATAAGAACCATCCAGTTCCTTATCTAGCATGTCATTCGCTCATAACAAATTGACAAAGAGGCACCCTTCCGTCAGCATATAACATTGTTGTTAAACATTCACAAGAACCTTATTACAGAAAATCTTAAGAACTTCTAATAAAAAAATAAAGTAGTAAAAACTAATGTTACCTGGGCAGCTTCATTGGCAGCATTCTTAGTCCATAGAGCAATTTTTTCCTGCCTATTTCTGACATTCACAACTGCTCCACATATTTCATCTCCGTGATCAAATTGTTCTCCAATCATCGCTAACAACTTGAACCCAAAAAAACAAAAGAATTAGTATAACTATTATTAGTTATATAACAACGAACCTAACCAAATACACAATTATTTTATTTCAAAATCACAAACTCTAAAAACGCACCGTATACAACCAACTGGTATCAGATTTTCCCTTAGGAAAAGTCACAGTCCATTTTCCCCCATTAGCACAGATGGGATCCTCCCACTTTGGCTCAATCCTATACTTGAAACAGTGGAAATCCGCCCCAACGGCCAACTTACTCGGATGGTGAATGTTATTGTAAATGCTGAAATAGCGAAAAATAACACAGAAAAAAATATATTAAAGATTGCAAGAATCAAGAAAAAGTGAATTAGGTTAAGACCCAGAAGAAAGAGAAATGGGGAAAGAGAAGAAGAAAGGGGAAAGATTGAAGCTTAACCTCCAAAACTCTTCGACGGTGGCGAAAGTGTAAATGGGTCGGATAGAGCTTCCCCATTCGGCTTGTTTGGACTTAGCGGAAGGGCTATCGAACCAGAAAGTCCAAGAATTCTCCAGCGGGTGAGGCTGCCGGACAAGGGTCGCCGGAGCTTTCGAAGCGCCGGAGGATTCCTCTTCGTCGATGATCTCACCCTCTTCTAGGTCGTCGTCGTCGTTCTCCGCCATGACCCTATTAGGGTTCTCCTCTGCCATGCTTGATTTTGGGGTATCTTCCACAACCATCTATTTTTCTCTCAATTCTTTAATGGGATCGAATGGAAATTTTGGAATGGATTTGCTGACTCTGTGATTTTAATTACAAACACTTGTGTGGTGGGCTGGGTCACTCACACCGCTTAGCTGGGTTTCAAGCCCCATCCTTGTAATGCATATGTCAGTTATTAATAAAAATAGGGTTAATTAATGTTTTAATTTTCAGACAAAAAAAAAAACTAATGTTTTAGTTTTAAAAATTAATAGATATATATTTTTCACTTAAATTAATATTAAAAGTATCCTGATACTGTCATCGGATATGATTCTATTAAATATTACAAGAGTACATTATTATACTTTTTTATATAAAAATATTTTTAATTCATTAACTAATATTTTAAGATATTAATTAATAATTTTTATTAAGATATAAGTTGGAATTTTTAAAAAAATAGTATATACCTTATTCGTAACCTTCTTTTAGTTATTTATTCTTTGATTGATCTGATTTTTTAAGTTTTTATTTTATTGATAATGAAGAGGATAAACCTTAAAGAAAAAGGCAAACTTCTTCCTACTTTTAGGCTTTTATTATTATTGAAAAGTGCAATGCTAACATATTATTTTTAACATAATTTTTAATTATTTATTAAATTTTATTAAAAACTACAAAAATATGAGATAAATATTTTTTTTTTAAAAAAAAAAGATAGGAACTCACTTATTTTTGTATTTTTTGGTAAATTTTAACATTACAAAAAGTGTGTTGCTATCCTTATCATTATTTTATTCGAGTAATTAAAACTCATTTTATTAAATTTTGTAGAATTTATCTCACCTCTATTCGTTATAACATGGGAATAACTTTATCATGCCGTTTTTCTTTCTCTATGATTTACTTCAACCTTACTAATAACTCCAATAGTAGATCATGCTTATAAGCTTCTTAACATGCTTCAAAACACACAATGTTATCTACCGAAGATAGCCCCATAACTCAAAATTGTAACTTTTTTTATTTTAAAAGGCACCCTTTTGGGGGGATGATGATGAAAACCTTGTTGTATATATATAAACTCGTCTTTCAAAAAATCAACTTGTTTATTATTCATCACATCAATTCTTTAATAATTATGATTAAATCAGCTTCTTTAACGAACAGTGCAAGTTACTAAATAAATGAGCTCTTTTGTCATTATTTTAGATTTTCATAAGTAGAAGTGCAAAAATATGTTCCATCTTTAAAAAAACTAATTTAATAATAAAAAAAAGCTTTAAAAAAGTGTAATATTTTAAGAACAAATTTAAAATTTGCCTACAGCTACCACTAGTATAAGGCTTTTTGAATCCCAAGTCGGCCTACAGGTTTATCATCCAGTCACCTAATATTCATTACTAATAAACCAAAATGCTACAACCCCTAGAAAATATTTGAAGGATCAATGTCTGATTGCATCCAGTTCCAAATGGATGTATGATTATATAAAGCTGCAACAGCAGAAGAGACACGTTTAATCATGAAATCTAAAGCAACAAACATCATCAGCGACACACAATGGATGTATGATTATTATATCAAAAATTTTCGACAGTGTCCTAGTTTTTAGCGTTCATTAAGCAAGTACACTTAGACTCCAGGTATAGGATATTGAGTAGTAAGAGCTTCAACTTTACTACGCAACTCTGAAACCTTATCTCCCAAAGGAAATTCAGGAGATGATACAAATTTCAAAAAGTCTTGGAGCTTTGTTCCTGAGACCAAACTTTTGGCTTCAAGACTTATCTGAACACCCTCATGAATCAAGTCTGCAATTAGTGCAAATTCTTTCTTACCAAGTCCTCTTGTTGTCATTGCAGGTGACCCAATGCGAATGCCTCCTGGAACTAGGGCACTCTTATCACCTTTTGTGATCAGCACGTGTCAGTATGGGTCATAAATATCATAAAGAATAAGCAAAAATGTCAAAGTAAATCAACACACAAGGAATAAGAATCTTACCAGGCACAGAATTTTTGTTGAGGGTTATGGAGGCCATGTCAAGAATTTTCTCCACCCGAGCACCATCAATACCCTACAGGATGTGATGCTGATTAATATGAAAAACAACTAACAATAACAAAGTCTTATCCCACTACGTAAAATCAACTGCATTAATATGAAAAACAACTAGAGTGCTAAAAAGGATCATACATAAACATGTAAAATCAACGTCTTTTTACATTCAAAAACATGTCAAATACATTGCAAACTCTGCATTAGTTTTATAATGGATGGGGGAAAAGAAGACGAGGGAACTGAACATTTTATCAAGACACAAGAAACAAATAGCAAAAAGCTTACAGATGGCCTCAGATCGACAAGAATCAAGTGATTATCACTACCGCCAGAAACCAGTTTATATCCATGCTCAATTAAATGGTTAGCAAGAGCTCTCGTGTTAGCGACCACCTGCAAGATGGTAGTTTTATAAGCGCCATTGTTAGGAAGTGCCTCACGCCCACCCACCTATTAACCAATGATGAAACGGGATATTGATATACCTGATTTTGGTAAATTTTGAATTCTGGAGATTGGGCATACTTCAAGCAAACTGCTAGTCCTCCAATTGTGTTGTTATGAGGACCACCCTGGATAATTCTACTATAAATCAATATCACAAACTAGGAACGTAAAGAAGACAACATCTAACTTCATACGTGCATAGGATCCACTCAACGTCTGAGTTAGAATAAATGAAAGATAACAAATTAGAGGACTTCCTAATTTACCTGTAGACCAGGAAAAACAGCATTGTTAATGGCAGATTCCAGATCAACCCCAAGCACAGGATCTTTCTTGAAGAATATCATACCACCTCTTGGACCTCTTAAAGACTGGAGGAAAATATCCAATAGATTGTGTCTCAGATGTGTCGTGTTTAACAAATAAAAGTATTTACTTCATAATTCCAAGTAAACATAGCGTTGTGTTTATACAAAAATTAAATGCAAAGTCCTCTTCTCATTTTCATTTTGAACACATAAATACAAAGTGTGACACAAATATCTCAAAGCAAACCTTGTGGGTTGTGGTGGTCACAATGTCACAAAACTCAAAGGGATCAGCAAGCACAGATGCAGCAACAAGCCCACTTATGTGAGCCATATCCATCATAAGAAAAGCACCTACTTCATCTGCAATCTTCCCATGCGTATATAAGATGTAATTAGCTTTTTGCCAAGAAGAAAACCATATTAGATAATGAGCAATATATAATTGCAGAAAATGCATAAGAACAAAACATACTTTTCTCATGCGAGGATAGTCAATGTCTCGAGGATAAGCACTAGCACCAGCAATAATGAGTTTTGGTCGGAAAAGAGTAGCAGTTTTCTCCAGCATGTCATAATCAATAAGACCTGTTGTGATTCCAGCATGGGTTAAAAAATAAGATACCCCCCAAAGGAGCCACTATAATTGTAAAAATTTTAATGACAAAACAAAAGCACCTGTTGATTCATCAAGTCGATAAGGCATAGATTCAAAATAAATTGAGGTGGCTGATACACGTTTTTTAGGTGTCATGAATCCATGAGACAAATGTCCTCCATGAGGCAAGTCCAAACCCTGGTGATATAACATTATACATTAGCAAAATCAAATTGGCTGTCGATTGAATAGTCAAGATCAAGCGAGGGGAGAACAGTTTACCATTATTCGATCATGTGGTTTAAGGACTGCAGTGTATACTGCAAAATTAGCAGGGGAACCAGATAATGGTTGAACATTAACACCCCACTTATTTCCATCTACATGAAATGCAGCCAGTGCCCTTTCTTGACAAAGGATTTCAAGCTCATCAATGTACTCATTGCCACCATAGTACCTTGAATGTAAGATGAGGTTTCAGTCAATGAAATTACAAAAGCAGATAACGAAAGACACATTTAGTAAAATTCTCATATTTTGAGAAACATAAAAACTGACCTTTTACCAGGTAGTCCTTCTGAGTACTTGTTTGTGAGGCACGAACCAACTGCTTCCATCACTGCTCTAGATGTAAAATTCTCAGAAGCAATAAGCTCAAGACTTTTAAATTGCCGGTCCTTTTCCTTGTTAATAATTGCACAAACCTCAGAATCAGCTTCATTCAACCCATAGTCCAAGAAGCTACTTCCATCGCCTAATATTAAGTCAAATATATCATACACAAATGTTCACATACTATCCTACTAATATATATTATTTGATGTTCACGCTAAACTGGGTGTCATTTTTCAAACGCTGCCACATAACAATGTGTCTTCAATAAACACAGAAGGAAGAACAAGGAACACAAAGACACTCACAGATAAAAAGGAAAGGAATCTATCTAGCACACCAGATTGCAAGAAATAGGTGAGCAACTGCACTCGTATTCCATTGTTAGATACAAAACAAACCAGAAAACCTCAAACCTATTTGCTTAAGAAGCTGCACACTTGTTCCATACACAACTATCCTACATAATTTATCAATCTCCAGCACCCTCAAATCTTTCGGAAGGGGGAAAAAAACACCATGCATTCACAAACGATAACTTCTCCATCAAATGGCAAATTAAAGTTACCTCCAATTTCAGGCACAGAGAAAGACAAAGATGATGGCTTCCCAGTGACCAAACCTCCCTCAACATGAGATGCTTTGCAGGGCTTCAAATGGTAAACCTTCATTTGAGGTATAAATCCATTACTGCCACACCCTTTAGCAGGGAAATTCATCCCTTTCGTCCAAACAGGTTGTTGCAAAGAACCCATCATTGAAACACCTTGCATCCTTGTCTTGTAAATTCAGTATAAGCGTTACACCCCTTCCCTACACAATCCATAAAGCATTATACAATAAAAATAAGATTTTGATTACCACATAACATGCTATAGAATTCACTATAAAAAAATGGAAAAAATAATTGAGATAATACATACACCCACATGATTTTTAGTTTTGAACAAATAAAAGTAGTGTTACTCTGTATATTATTAATCAATATAAAGCTGAAAAGTTGAAACAAAAATCAATCTATATAACTGAAACAAGTAAATAAATAAGTGAAGGCAGAAAGAAGATGAATTTAAGTGAGTGGTGGACTTACTGGACGGTGGCTCGTTGCTGAAGGAAGGGTGGAAAAAAAGTTTTCAGTGGAGTCAAACCAGTTAGGGTTTCAGAATTTGAAAATTTTGAGCTTAAAAAGAGAGAAGAATAGAAAGAAAAAAAAAAAAGTGAAAACGACAAAGAAGATTAGGATGCGGGAAATGGTTGAATTCAGCGGCTAAAGTGACAATGTGGCGATGAAAATTAAAAGGGTTGTGATAAGATTAAGAGATTAATGAATATAATAAAGCTTAATTAGATGTATTGTCGTGTAAAAGCTGTCCAGTCTGAATTTAATTTATATAATTTCTTTTAATGATACAATTTTTACTTTTTCATATCTTTAGTACCTTAACTCACAGTCCAGTAACATAATGTCAATTTTTAATTCAACCACATCACCTAAAAAATTAAAAATAATAGTTTATAAAAAAAATAAAAGTTATATCTTAATAAAATATTTTATATGAATAAAGCTTAAATTGTACAATATTTGTATATATTAAACACTTAATTAAATTAAAAATTAAAAAATATATCAATATAGTTTCATCATATTTTTAATGTTTTTAATTTAATTTTAATAAAACATTATTTGTTATTTTAGTAATTAATATTTATAAGATTTATTAATAAATAAGATAAGAGAATAAAATATATTTTTATTTTATTTTTAATACTATTTATTTTAGATTTTGTTAATCAATATTTTAAATGTATTAATTAAAAATAAAAAATTATATTAAAAATTACAAGAAATATATATTAAGAATATGTTTTATTAAAAAAAATTCCTAATTTTTTGGTTAATGTTCTTTGAGTATGAATTAGTGTTTCGTTTTGTATTTACTTATTTAATCAATAAGATAGAATATATAAGAGCAAAATCATACTAATCAGCCTTGAAAGCAACTCTCATTTACCGTGTGCTTGCTTGTCTAGCCAATGGAACCAATGAAGGGATTTATCTTGAATTGGACCAATTTGTTTCGTTTATAATAACAATTATCGGAATTTTGGCTACTATTGTCTAGACGATCTTTACTCTTTCCACGTCACGGTCTCTGTCCTTCCAAAAACTATTAATATTTTAATTAAGATAATTTAATAGAAGATAAAAATATACTTAAGTGCGTAGCCAGAGCAAACTAAAAAAATTAAATGGGCGGCTATATAAGCGATTGAAGGATTATCTTGAGAAGTTTGTCACTTGAAATACATTTCACTGTCCAACTACGTAATTTACATGAAAGGTCGCAAAACCAAGTTTTTCATTTTCTGCCAACCATCGAAGAGAAAGTTAAATTCTATCCTAAAAAACGAATCCTCTCATTTTCATGCAGCCAAGATATTGCATAATTCTTCCTCCATTTATATGGGTTAACCTCATTCAATTTTTCTCAGCTAGAGCCGAATTAGATTCGCTTCTTTAAGAAAAGTCATTGCATCTAACACATTGGCAATTTGTACCAATTTCATACGAATAAAAAGCATAACCTAACCTTTTCATTTCTCTTTTCCAAAAGGACATATTCTTCCAATGGCATAGAGGAACAAATGATAATGCATAGTTTTTCATTTGTTCTATAAGACATTTTAAATTGTCATATTTATCACCCAAATGACTAGCATGTAGCCACAGAAATTCTTGTGTAATTTACATGGACTCCAGGACTAAATTATTTCACTACTTTTTTTGGCTTGCTATGGTTATCATGTAACAAAATAGCATTCATAAATGCATTTCATTCCACGTGCGAAAGTCCCCCGCCACTCTCAGCACGAGTCCTACAAAAGAATTAGTGTTAGGAAGTACGAAGGAGGCACAATTATAGTAAAGTGAAGCCCAGGCTTTTAACCATTTCAATGTACAAACCCATGCAATCTTATGAATACACGTGCGCGTGCATAAAAGGGTTGATAGTAAAAACATATAGGAATGACACAGGATATAAAGAACAAATTGATAATATAATAATGCATTCAATACTTACTTATGGTCAGAAGGATTTGGCATTAGCTCATAAACAATAGTAGCAACCACATCCCTTTTTAACTATACAATAAACAAGAAAGTTAATAGTCTGACTAGATTGTAAACCAGCAACTGTGAATTTAGCAGTAAGAGTACCTGAGTGGCTTCGCCTTTAAACCCAATATAGTATATCTTAGTAGTGTCACCTCCGAAATTGTCAGGAAAATGCAACGTAATATTTGCCACACTTTGAAATTTAGAATATCTGATCCAAGGGAATGATATATTAGAAGATGATGAGTCACTAGCTCATCTAAAAAATTTAAGTCTTTTGGTATATTTCATTGAGTTTAAATTATAAATTAATGTAATTAATTAAAAATTTCAATAAAATGTTGTAACTGCTGAAAAATTGATAAATCTTTCATAGTTTGATGCTGGCAATTGAATTTTGAAGGGATTTGAAGAAAATTGGCAATCAGACTAAAGAGCAAAAGTTGAATGTTGCAGGATACAATTGTGGAGACACTATGCTGAATGAGCATATAAAAGCGAAAATTTCCGAAAAGGCAGCATCTTTTAGTTTTATCTTTCCTTTTTAGTACATTATGAAGGCGCAGAAATCTAAGTTTTCGTACAGTTTATGGAGAAATGGCAGCTATGGTAGTTTTCTTACATGTTTTCTAGAGGATTCATATAGGAACTTGAATTCCCTTTTTATTTTTTCTGGTTTATGTAATGGAACAGTAATTCTCTGATTTCATCTATTTGTTGTAAACTTTTCTATAGACATGAATTCTGTTTCTAATATATATTTCTGTTTTATATTATTTATTTTCATTATGTCTAGCTAAATATCTTGGAGTTGAGTGAGGATGAACTTATACCTTTATCATTTGCAATGAACTAACATTGGATATAGCTCAATATACATGCTTTAATCTAACATTTTGATTTTGAACTTAATACTTCCTTGTTTTATGTGAATAAGGTTGATGAGAAAGAGTTTATTGCTGAAAAATAGTGAACTTTCTTAGATATGAATTAATTTGTTCATTATGAATTATCTAGAAATAAAAATTTATGATGATGTGGTCAATGGGTTTAAATCTTAATGCTAAATGTTTTTAGTTGTATCTAAAGAATTAAGACACTAATTTTATTTTAGAACTAATTACCAAAGAATTGGGGTTGGGTATTTTAGAAAATCTGACCATTAGATGAAGCTGTATTTAGAATTACATATATATTTGTATGTAAGGCAAAAGAGATGAGGGATTCCGAACGCAACCTACTTTTTAATCGTCTTTAGATCCACTTCCTGTAATTAAGACATTTACTTTCTGCAGTTATTTTGTTTATTGTTCCAAGTTTTATTTCTCAGTTTATGTTAACATATTAATTTCAATTCCAGCACTTCTAATTTCATTTGTTTACAATCCTGCACTTAGTTAAATTTCATTTTGTTCATACTCTATTTTTAGTGACCCAAATAGTGTCGTTCTTATACGTTGGTACTTAGTATTAATTCTTATGAACAATAATCTAATTTGTTATTTCATCTATTTGGTGCACTTGCCAAAAAGTCATTAGAAGACCGTAATACTAGAGACAAAAAACTGAAACTCCAACGATACAAAGCATTATTGCCCCTAATTAGTCAGTATGGTATATACTACATTAATATAACATAGGAAATGCATTGCATACATGTATTATTGCCTTATTGAATATTTTGCAATTTTTTTTTTGAGCATTAGTGTTAGTAGAAAAGGCCAAAGTAATGGAAGAACTAAAATGAGCAGTCAGTAATGATTACCTTGTCTGGTATTCCAATACTCCTTGCATATTCTCAACCAAATCCCACTCCTTTAAGAAGAAAAAAATATTTCATACAAGTTGTAGTGTGGACTTGTCAATTAATTCCTTGGAAACCTTGAAAGAAACTATACCTGAATGGCTTGCATGCCTTGTGCATCTGAAAAGTCAATACCGTCCCGATTGATGAACCTAATTCAAGTTGAAGTGTTCAGCCTTTTTTATGTAAGAGTAAGAGAATATTTACAATAAAAAAGGTTATTGTAATTGAATATTCAATTTAGTCAAGATTGTACAAATATTATTTTCCAACCTACAAAATGTTGTATAGAGGTGGGGTATTGAGTCTGTTGATTGTAAAGGGGATACTTGGAAAGTAGATTAAAAAAGTTTGGGCCAAAATACTAAACTATATTATTTTTATGTGAAAGTAAGTAATAGGAAAGAGGTTGACAAACGTCTACAGTTAATTTCATCTTTCATCTTACAACCTTTCCTCCTTAGATTAAATTGAACAAAAGAAAAACAAGTGTTGATCACAAAAACATGCACAAATTCATTTGGTATGAGCGTTTACTAAGATATTCACACTGGTTGCACTGATATCCAATTGAGAATAAAAACAGCTCAATTGTATAAATAGAGGATGCCATTAAGCAGGAAAAAAAACACGAACATCAGACAGCACAGGTGGGGAAAGGTTAAAAGTGGAGATGGTATCTAAAATCCCTACGTGGCACATGAATAATCCAAATAAATTTAACAAGCTGGATTTGATGAGAGAAAAAAAGATATCACAATCATGAGACAATCAAAGAGGATAAATCTTATAGAAGGAATGTTTCAAATGGTAAAGCAACAACATTCATTTTAAACTCAGTTGTTGTCCAAGCCAAAGACAAACCAAGAACTAGAGCTGCAGAGGCTGGTATGTTTCTCATATCGGATTGGCAAACATAAGAAAATTAAATAAAATCCAATTTTTTGCAGGCGAAAATTAACTCTTTTATTATCAAATTCAGATGGAATGTAGGGCGTAATTCCTCAAAAAAATATAAAAAATAAATACAATATAGCTGCTTCTAAACCATAAAACTTACGCCCTCATCTTCGAAGGGCTTGTTCCATCAGCTCCACCAACAATGGATATGCTCTTAATCTTGACATCTGAAGTAAATCTATCTTACACAGAAGCATAACAGGTTCTGTAAGAACATACAGGGCCATTTTTCTAAATAGCAAAATGATAATGCTACAGCTAAATCGTTGCACTTACTGATTTTAGAAGAAAGTTGATCATACAAAAATTTAAGATTGACAGCACAAAGGAAAAATTTTACAATGAAAGGAAGCATAATTCAAGACATAAACATGGTCACAAGCACACACACATGTATGTGTTTTTCTTATTAAACTATTGCATAAGATTGCCAGAAAATTCTATACAGTTCAGGTACAGTTAATCCTATGGGGCATATAGAGAGAGAATTTTTGTTTTATTTAAAAAAAAAGAAAGAAAAACATCATAAAAACAGTGTACTGATACTAAGAAAACATATTTATTTTCCTTCCTAACATCTAAAGCATAATTCACTAGAATCATAATACGTAATTCAGTCCAATTTTAAAGAATACTTGTTTTATTCACAGTAAAGGGTGTGATAACGTCAATATTCCACCTGACAACTTCTACCCAAAAGTACTTATGTTATAAACATAGCCTTACCAAGTGCTAAATATTTCCATATCTTAGAGGCTTGTAGGGTAAGCAATTACATTATACTCACATTTTAAGACTAGATGATCTCAATATACAATGAAGGGTTTCTTTAATCTACCCTTGTTATTGAAAAATAGGTGCAATGTTTTTCTCTCCATAACCATTATTTAGAACATGGTTTTCATAAAACACAAAAAACAAAATTGACAAGGAATAGGCTGCAAAATTGTGATGTAATAAAAATGGTAATTAGGAGGTGAAAATAGTCATAGTTAGTGGGGTGGGGAAATTTAAATTAAAATTTGCTGTTACATGTTCATATAGCTTATGCTGACAAAATTATATGCTTGAATCTTTACAATTTAGATAAGCTCTGTAAAGGAGAATCGGAACCAGTAATACTACCAAAAACCTCCAGGTTGTTAACAACGGGGTTGAAAATTTTCTTGGCCTTCAAGGCCATTAAAATGAAAATTAAAGACATAAAAAATATTAAATTGACAATCCACCCCTTATATTCTACATTTCAGGAATCAGCATATTTACATAGACAAACACCACAACAACAAAGGAAAGCAACTGATTAAAATATATAAAGAACACATTCAATACAGCATAGTAAAACTAGAGAAAAATCAGTTCAACGTGTAGAAAGCATAAAGGTATGAGGCATAAAAACTTACGGAATGAATACAAGTAACTCGGGATCCCCTTCATTGCTTTCCAAGTGTTCCTGTTGAAGCAAAGAAGACCAAAAAAGATACATTATTATTTACTACAGGTTAAAGATCACACTGTGCAACTCGCAAGGAGTGAACAACGAAATTAAAGTGGATTGCTGAATGCATTACCCCAGAAGAATTCAGACGGTCTTCCCAAGCTTTAAAAACTGACTTAACACTGCCTGGAGTTGCCTCATTCAAAGCAGATACCTGAACAATATTTTCAAATTAAGATCCTTTTAATTTTTCTTTTCAATAAAAAATTTAAAGAATACAGAACCTACATTTGATAATCATTCTAAAGAGATGCAATGCGATACACCTAAAGATTAAAAAAAACCACATCCACAGTAGCAGTGCGGTATGCACAGTACTGCACATGCTCTCTAAAATTTATTATGTTCTTTCTATACAAGCTTTTCTGCTTTCAATAATGAAGGAATCAATAAAAGACATCATAATCAACATCATCGGAATTTGTCTCAATTTGATGTGGGTGTGCGAGAGAGACAGAGAGATAGGGAGGAACCTTGGAGAGGTCGATGTGTTTGTAGAGAGACCAGTCAGAGGAACAGTCATGGTCTTCGCAACTGTGGTCGTGCAAGCACGCCATCTTCGCTCTTCACTCGCAACGCAAACCAGTCCCGATTCGTTTCTCCTCGATTTGGTTTAACACCCCCAGCACCGTTTCACCTTTATCAAAACGACACACACCCCATTCGTTTGTTTCCTGATATGATAAACGACAAGTCGTATTCATGATGGCAGCGTATAATCTACAAGAAGGAACAAAATTCTGTACCAAAATAATAATAATAATAATAATAACAATAATAATTTCACTTTTTTTTCTTCCTTCTCGTTTTTACTCACTTGTTTCTTTTACCCTTTTTTTTTTGGAAAAATAGTTTGTTTACACCTATAAAATAAGGTGTGAAATAGATGGAAGAAGAAAAATATTTTAAATAAATAAATAAATTATGTAATAAAAATGAAAAAAATAAAAACAATTATAATGTAAGAGAAAATATCTGTGAAAATATATAATTTTTTATTTTATTGTTACATCTTTCATTTTTATTATTTCTCTTTTTTTATATCCAAATAACACCTCACAAAGAGATATCAAAATCTCATCACTCAATTAAAAAATCTTGTACATGGATAATATATTTATTTTAATAAGGAGTGTGTAACTTGTTAGATGTCCCTAAAGTTTGTCTAATATAAATAATATTTTTATATAATCATACAAAAAAAATTAATGAATGAATAATTCTTGCATGAGAAAAATTATAAAAAAGGAAGTGAAGAATGAAAAACATAGAGGATGATAGTTGATGAAATTATTGAGGCTAGTCTCTTGAGTGGGAGAAGTTAACCCAATTTATTAATTTATTAAATGAGAGTGTACTACAAGTTAAGTATTAGATTAAAATATTTATGTTTAATGTGAAATTTACAATGTTATTACACCTTTTAAGAATTGATGTTTATGATAACTTTATTTTATTCATTCAAACTTGGTGATAGTATTATTTTTCTTTAAATAACTTTACTCACCTATTAATATTCGTTGCATTATACTTAATTCAACTTATAGGTAACCTTTTTATGTAGGTCAATGTCTCTCAATAAAAACACTAATTATTGTAACCAGCATTGTGCTAATTAAATGTTTCCTTAAGTATGCACTTTAGAATATATGGCTCTCGGTCAAAAGGTTGATGAGGGTGAAAACAAAATTATATTCCTCGATATACATAAATTCCTTTTATTAACGTTTTTATGTTATTTAAAATAAATATTAATAACGCACTTTTAATATATTTTTTATTAGTTAAAATTTTTTTAAATATAAAATAATGAGCAGAGCTCGATAATTTCAAATGAAACCTACATAGTTTTATAATTATTCATCAATTTCAACAAATAATAAAAAGTATGTTAAAAGAAATGTATTAAAATTTATTCAAACAACGTTTTTTATTTTAAAACATATAACTACTAAAAAGGTTGAGTTTTATATTGTAATGTTAACATTTCCCTTTTATTTCATTTCAATTTCAAGCTATATTGGACAAATAATATAAATTTTTTATTTTATTGATTTATTATTATTATTATTAAACTAAATACAAATGCAAATCTATAAAATGTACACATAAAATTATAAGTTGAATAAGAAATATAGGTTATATTAATCAATATTATTTTAAAATGTGTAATTATTGAAAAGGTTGAGTTTTATGTTCTGGTCTTAAAATTTATATTTTTTTCATTTTATTATTTTCAAAGTATATAATACAAAAATATAAATCATGTTGTTTTTTCAAAATAGCATCATTTTATAAATAAAATTTTCGACAAAGTATATCAAATACACTCATAAAATTATAAGTCGAATAAAAAAAATTGTTAACAAAGTTGTATAATATATGATTGTGAAGGCAAATGAACTTAAACCTAGTTTAAATAAACTTTTAGAGAAATATTTATGAAAAAAAAATAAACTATGCTATTGTTTTTTAATAAATAAATTTTAGCATTAAATTATAAATAAATTTTTCAACAAAGTATATAAAACATACTCATAATTATAAGTCAAATAAAAAAATGCTAACAAAGTTGTATAATTATAAAGACAAACGAGGGTAAATTTCTAGAAAAGTTTCTATAAAAAAATTAGTATAAAAAATAATGAATTATATTTCATAAATTAAAAATAACTTATTTTTAAAATTTTAAAAAATAAAAATGTAAGAGGTTCTTAAAAAATAAAAAACCATAATTTTTTAAACTTATAAATTAAAAAAAATATGAACTTAATAAAAAAATTATGATTTTTTATATTAATTTTTTAATATATTTTTTTAAAAAATTAGTCAAAAGATACCTTATCCTCCATTTATTATTGTTTTTTAAATAGAAAAGGAGTGGGTTGTAATGAGTGGATATTGAAAAGTGAAAATATATTTTGTAGGTAGTGTTCAAAACATTGATAATAAAAAAGATATGTCAAGTGACACTTCTTTTAAGAATTTATTGCCTTTAATTATAGTAAAAACTCTTCAGAATTTAAAAAGTTCTTTCAAGCATTTTTCTGAGCAAATATAATGGTAGAAAAAACATAATAAGGGACCCAAACATTTTTTAAAAGATAAAACGAAGAGAAGAAAACTCACAAATTTTCAGTCGTGTATTTGGAACTCTTGCTAAAACTTATTTTATAAACACAATTACTGGTCCGTTGCATCATTCAAGTGAAAGAAAATGAAATACATATTCAAAATAACAAAAAACAACTTAATATACCTCAAATCAATCAATATCATTATTATTTAAATGCTAATAAATTTCATAAATGAAAATGGCATCAGAAAGCAATTTGTTTGAAAATATTCATGTGGTATTAATCAAAATAATGCATCATTCAATAATTAAATATGATTGAATTAAACAAAAATATATACCTATTTAAAATTTTGAAATAATTTTACCATAATTTTCTACATATTTTAAAAGTTAAAGAAACATTTAAAAAACTGGGTCAATCAGGAGTGTAAATACATAAAATCTAATGTCTTTTAAGATTTGAACTACGACATAAATTGACACTAAAATATAACATACAAATGAAATGAAACTGTAAAGTTTTATGAATTAAAAATGTCATTGTATATTAGAGTCGTATTATATCTTTCCAATTTTTTTAACTATTGACGTTATTTCATAGTATCATACAAGTAGCCTTGCTTCAGATTATTTTATCAAGTATATATTTTATTTTATAAATTATGTATAAGAGATATAAAATTTAATAAAAGTTCTAAACTTATTGTTTCAATAAATGCAATCTAGGATTTATCACGTTACAAGAAAAGATAAAAGTAACGGTGTTAATTTGCATTCTCATTCTCTCTCACACAAAATAAATAAATAAATATATATATATATATATATATATATATTGTACTAGTGTAAGTATAAAAATTTACATTCAATTTGAGTCTTTTATTTAATTCACATCTAATAAGTTATAATTTATTACTTCATTGACTGTTAAATATAAATTAAATAAAAATTTTTAATTAAAAGTAAAAGTTTTTAAACTTATACTAATTTAAAAATATTATATATATATATATATATATATATATCATTTTTAATAATTATTTTTAAAAAATGACATACATGCATACATCTAAATTTATATTTATTAAGAAATTGCTTTCACTATTTTCACTTGAAAATCACATAAATTTCGACATAAGAAGACATCAGTTTCTTTTGTGAATAATATTTGCTAAAAAAATTTCTTACTCGATCCAGTTCAAACTCTATACTAAATAAAAATAAATAATTTGGCCTCCATAAAACATCAAATAACCTCTATATTGTAAATCAAAATCTATTATTTAAAAAGTAAAATATTTAGAGCATGCTTCATTTCTGTTTTTAAAACAATTATTTATTTTTAAAACTTAATTTTAATATAAATTTGTATTAGAATTGATTTTTAAAAACAAAAAACAAACATACCCTTAGTGAAACTATTTTTTTTTAATACAGTTTGTAGTATGTAAATTTTAAAATATAAATTAATTGAGAATGATGTATGAATTACATTTTTTCTTATTATAATAGTTTTATATTTTCTCATATATATATATATATATTAATTTCATTATAAATTTTAAAAATTTAAATTATTACTTAAAATTTTTATTTTTTTGTGAATTTATATTTTTATATTTATAAAAATTATTTCTATTTTTTTAATTCTAAACTTTATTTTTAAAGGTCTTATCTCTTAAATTTATAGTTATTAATAAATATCAATTATTGACATTTAATTAAATTTTTGTTAACATTATATGATAAAAGTATTATTTTAAAATTATTTAATTTTATTTAAATATTTATATTTTAATATAGTTATAGAATTGAGTTAAAATAATTTCTAAGGAAGTTATGTTTTACCAAGAGACAATATCTCTGTTAAGGTTAAAAATAATCAAAAGCCAATCTACATCAATGACAAAGCAACTTATATAATACCACAATGTATAAATATAAAAAAATATATTGAAAGAAAAACTCAGATACTCAGTTTTATACAAGACAAATAATAATAAGGGCCACGTTGAATTTTAAATTCAAAATTAAATGGAATGTGACGCGTGCAAATTCAATTCAAATCCTACTCAATTATAATACTCAATTATTTTAATAGTTCTCAGTTTGATGTCAATTCTTTCACAGTAGTATTATCATTTTTAAAGATACATTCACTTCTAACTATTGTGAAAATATCTCAAAATTTAATAGATTATTCTAAAAACTTTTTTATGCAAATAAAATAGTTGAAATTGTTTTTTTGTCAAAGTTTAAAAATCACAAGTATTCTAAAATTTAAAGGACGCAGTCCGTAATTGCTACCAGCTCAAGAAAATTTTTACGCGGGGAAATTTGAATACAAAATCTTTTGTTAAATAAAAAATTGATTATACATAAATGCAATAGAACCTTGCACTACTGGGTTAATCATTTGAATTAGAATAAAAAATTAAAAAATAAAAAGAAGACAAAGAAATTTACAAAATTTTTAGAGTGCATTTATAACTCTCCCTAAAAGCGATTACTGATCCGTTGTCTCCTTCAACGTGAGAGTAAATCAAATGCATATTCAAAATAATAAAAGCCAACTTAATATACCCTTAATCAATCAA